GTACGAAAAGCATGGAGTTTTTCGAAAACAAAGGTTGACTCTGAAAGAGAAATGATATGACTACTCGACCATAGGCTTACTTCAACTATGAGAATACCTATTTTCTCTCCGCTCCAGTGGAGAATTTCTAGTCATCACTGCCAAAAAAATTTTATCACAGAGATTCATCTATTCAGCGAGGCGTGAGGTGACGCAGCAACATCGCGAAAAAAGCATAATAATAAGCTTAATTGAATGTTGCCCAGTACCCTCATGGAGAAAAACAATAAAGTCCAAGCGTGGAATTAAACGTGCCTCTTGTGGAATTAAAAAACTCCAAACAATAAATAAAATTTGAATAAAACGTTTGTAAAACGCGAGGAGTTGAAAAGTATTCGAGTAAATTAAAGTTGAACGGCATTTTTAATTCCCTCTCATTCGCTTCATTAATAGCATCTAGCCAACGTCGTAGCACAACGTTTTTCATCTATTGAATTACCTGAAACAGTGATTTATTTGTTTACTAAACAATCATTTATCTGTTAGGCATTCGTTTCATCTTGGTGCGAACCGGTTTAGTGGCAGAGCATGTGTAATTTATGTAATGGGTGTTTCGCGATAAATAGGCCTCTCAGTATTATATCTCTGACCAATATCTCTGACAATCTTCGTTGCCCAGACCTAAAGATTACCTGTTTAGTTCAAAACCGTAACAACTGAGTGAAATTTCGATATATACGCAAAATTTAATGGAGAATCTAACAGGAGTGAAATCAGGCTTGTCGGAGGATCTTCAAGGTGTTTTTGGAAAATCTTTGCATAAAAGCAAAGGTTTCAAATACTGTAAATATCACTTTGTAAGTTACTCGACAATACAATCGAGTTGTGAGAAACATGATACTTTAGATATGAGAGAAGTTAAGCCTGCTTCATGGCAGACGAAAGTGATTAAGGATGCATTTTCAAACGAAAATCGAGAAGATTTTTTGCTATTGTTATTCATATATAAGTTTGTGTTTATTTTTTTTCTCATGAAATGATGAACCACTACACTCTACAAAAAACGAGTTCTTCGTGTTTTCAGAGAATGAGTTAAAGATCTCATTTAAGTTCTTTGAAATATGAAGCACTTCATTTCTATTTTTCAATAAAAACATGAGTTTTTCACCCATTTCAGTTTTCCGGCCCATTTTAGTTTTGCAGAAATTTTGTTTTTTTCAAAATTTGAAAAACACTATTTCTTTTGAGTTCTCTGAAGATCTCGAAGGTGAAAAAGAAAAAGAAAATCACACATTTCAATCACCACTTTTGCTTTGCGATTCCTAATATATATAAAGGACATGATCTTTTCTTACAGAAGTTTAAAGCTATTCTCAAAAAGTTGTATTTATGCACAACGATGTGTATGCTTCGAGAACATGTTTATTCTTGGCAATAGGGTTCTAAAAGTCGACTCGAACCCAACGAGCCGAGTACCTACGATGTCTGAAACCTGGGCATCATCCGGAAATCGCCGTCGCCGCGGATTCTTATACCTTAAAGTGTTAAAGTGTTAAAGTACAAACGTGCATAATTGAGGGTGAGGACGTGAGGATGAAAGTGGAGCACTTCTTTACCCGCTTCACTCTCACTTCTCCACCCTCACCCTCACTCGCCGCGAGTTCGTATATGTTAAAGTGTTAAAGTGTTAACGCTAAAGTGTTAACACTTTAACACTGAATCCGCAGCGACGGCGATTTCCGGATGTTATGGAAACCTGATTCAACCCGGGTCGAATGAGGTTCCTAATGACGGTCAAGTTTGGATGTGGTTTACATAGTTTTCTCTACTTGTGCAGGTTTGACCATAGATGTAACCGGTCAAGAGTTTCTCGCCCGGGCCGGTAACCGGTCTAAAACTTTCTGACCAGGTCGGGCCGGTCGGTCATATATTTTCTTTTGGTTCTCGCCCATGGCACCCGAACCATGGATTTCCAAGATGTCGTTTAGATTCAGTTTTGTCGAAAACATTTCAGGCTATATATATCAATGAAAAAGATTCATAGATTTCTATGTCAGTTCTGAGAGAACCGAACTGGTTTTTTACAGATCTCCTGAAAAATCGGTCTTCAAAATTTTTTCCAAATTTGTTTTTGCTTATGAAAACATAGCTTCAGATCTTGGCTAGCGAATGATGAAAACCGCAAGTATCTATCTTTTATCCCTTTTGAATTATTCAAAAAATAACTCCTCGACTTGTATTTTGGCGCCGATGGTAGTGCAACAACATTAAAAAAGAAAACGAGCAGAATATTCACATAGTAGGGATTAACAGTCCTGCTTTCGAAGACTGTTGACAAAAAAGAGAAAACCAAACTAAGTTTTTTAATCTGAAATATGAAAACGTTTGTTTTAATTAGATCAGCAAATTCGTTTTCGACAAAGTAAATGGCATTATTTGTTCACCAAAAAAGCTAGATAGGTTTACAAGAGAGGCATGTATTATTTTCAATGGTCTAATTCCCAAAGCCAGGCTGAATCAAATTTTGAGTTTCAATTCAATTAAACATCGTTTTTATATTCAGTTTTTAATGTTGAATCCGTAAAATATAGTTTAAAAACTGAAAAACAGCTCTGAATCGAAAAAAAACTTTGAATTTTTAGAAAATGAACGGTTTTTCGAAAAAATGGGTTCTTCAAGTATTTCAAGTTTTTCGGCCGTAAAAAATTTTTTCAAAAGTTAAAAATTACTTTTTCTTACTCAGCTCATCGCGCTCTATCTAACCATGTATGAATGAATCAGAAAAAAATTTCACTGAAGGTACGACTTGTCGGCAACTTACTGACTTTTCAGGCGAAAATAGTTTTTTCTCGACCGGTCAGTAATTTCTGACTCGATCGGGCCGGCATCTTTATAAGCAAATTCTGACAAAATTTCACTCAACTGTTCAAATGTTCACTCAGTTCTTTTGAAGGATGACGAGTGCGTTGCCTTTGATCAAATGCAACAAAAACTGAGTGACTTTTCTTGGTAATGAAGTAAAATTTTCAAGTAAAGGGATATAATTGCTTTTTCTCATATATATGATAATTATAATCACACAAAACAAAACTTTTTATCTCATAATTTTTGGGACTAGATAGGTTTGCAAGATGCATAAGAACACATTTACGAATCATCTTTTCCTGTAATGTGTATGATCACAGATAACCGAGAACGAGTGTGAAAGAACTAGATGCCAACTACCCTTCGGGAAGATTAGAAAGTCGACTGAGTGAAACGGTAAACAGACGAAATTAGAACATTCAGAACGTCATAACTGTATCTTCTGCGTATATTGTTCACATTGACATATCAGCTAATTCATTACCGTGTTATATATTATACTATACCTTTCATCGCATCAAGTACTATAGAATATATGAAATGAATCACATGACTATTAATAATCTCATAGAAGAGGCGATAGAGTTTTCTTAAAAAATATACTCACTGTGTGGCACTAATTATAGGTGAACTAAAGTATACATAGAAAAATTAAATTCAGATGTGTCATCTACGATTCCTACTTTCGGATCATCTTTTTCCCAAATGTGTAACATCAGAGATAGCCTATAACGAGTATCTAACTCGAACGAGAAAAGCGGTATAGAAAGAAATAAAGGAAGAAGAGCTTTGCTAGACAACACTCGTAGTTTAACAGAATAAGTCTCCTGAGTTTCACAGTCGACTTAAAAAAGAATGAAAGTGTATGCGAATGGTTTAAAAATTATCCTGTACATTTTAAATATTCAAGAACTGCCAATTTGCGTGATTAACTCGTTGATTTTTTAAAATGACAATTACCAACTTGTTTAACCAAAGCTGAACCTGTCAACATCATAGAAAGAATACTTAGCTTACAAAGCAAAATAAAATAAAACTTTGACTTTTTGAAACTTAAGAAAACCAGCCGACCACCATGTCATCAATTATCACTCATTGCTGATTGTACTAAGTGTCAAAGAATATATGAGATGTTTAGGAGAACAAAAAAAGTTATTTCTGTCTCCCGTACATTATCATCCTAGTGTTTTAATATTTTATATTAAATTAATTTCTTTCTAAAAAATAAATTTTATTTGTCGTTGTTGTGCCCGCACCAAAAAGAAGAAACAACGACAGATAAAAACATTTAACAATATTTATAAATTACACTTACCATTGCATAGAAGTAGTAAAAACAAACAGGTTGCCTGTGTGTGCCCTAGCACATTTACATAGTAGAAAAGCCTTTACAAAACCAGAAAACCTGCTGACATAAACTGACTAGCACAAGCGAAGGTATGACAAAAGCCAAACTATTGCGTATGTCTATATGCAAGCAAAGTATTGAATTATTATAAATAATTATTAACAAATTCATTCAATAAGTCTAAATTAATTTCATCTCGTATTTCTAAAGCTTTATGACCAAATTCTTCAGCTATTAAAATATTTGTTACATCATCATCTAATAGGAGGACTTCATGTGGTTGTATCGTTTTATTACGTTTTGTAGCTATTTCAGTAATAATTGATGTAATGTGGTATTCTTTGCCAAGGAAAGATGACGTATCTTGACCATCCGTAGCCATACAAGACATAAATTCATTTGTATTACAACGAATTAGAATACGATCAGTTTTACTAGAATAGAAAAAAAAAGTTTTTTTTTTGCAAGCTGAAATATTTCATGAATTAGTCAATAGCAATGTACACCCTGTGGCATGTTAAGAAATACAAAAAATATTTACTTAGGATTTCACCTCATTACTATTATGCTAATGAATTGTGCTGTTTATAAGAGGTTCTAGTATGATTTTTTATTAAATAAATTCTCTATAGCATAATTTAACGCGAAACGGCTGTCTTTGTCAAACGAAAAACTTGACGTTCAATCGTGGATTATGCTTTTTTAAAAACTATTTAATCTCTGCGTAAGTCTTTGTTCGATATGTTCCTCTATATATAGTCAATAACAATGAATGTATACCACAGTACTTACGATGTTTTAAATGCTAATTTAAGTAATTTTTTGATTAAAGTATGTTGTGATGAAAATGAAACGATGCATACGTGCAAGATCTGAGAATAAGTAGGTGTATTCAATAATTCTTGGATCAAATAATAAAATGTTGAACGAATATATTCTAATAATTTTTCTACTTGACCTTGATAATAACCCATTGTATGAATAGATAAAAATGTTTTATCGAAATCAATTGCTAACAATTTGATATTTTTACGAAGTAAACCATTGACAATTTCACGTGCTTTTGAACGTTGTTCGGATGCATAGTTGCTTGAATTACCACGATTAGAACTATTGTTTTTTGCTCTTATGATGTTGATTGGTAAAAGTGACGATGATGGTATAACTTGTGACGAAGATGATGATGGAATGAATGTTTTTGTTACCACCGAATCGGATTTTTTATTTACACGATGTGTCTTCATTTACAGCACCTATAAATGATGATGACATAGAAGTATAAATAAAACATAATCTAGCGTGCTATTAAAATAAGAAAAAAACTCTAGTGAACATTTTAATTTTCAATTAAAACTCGAAACAAAATTATTTACAACATGAGACATAGCCTAATGATGATCTTATTGAGTAAGATTGGAAGTCTAGTAAAATTTTATTTTATTTTCTGAGAAATTAAATTTTGAACTTCAATATCAAAACAATAGCTTCACTACTAGTCTAACACAGGCACTCTTGTTTTTTATTTCTATAGCAGTAATTTTATTTAAGCCTTGATGAAATCCTTTGAATCCATTTTTGACGACAGTAGTCTTACTTCATTTACTTCTACGTTAAACTAGAAAAATAAAACTAGTGTTTCATAAAAGCTAGACATGTACAGGAACTATGGTACATTAACATCTTATTGTCAAAATGAACACAAAACCTTGCTTCCCTCAAATATGTTTCTTATTCTAGAACAACATCCCTAAAATCGAGATTGCTTATGTTTAATGCCTATCTTCTTCCGTATATCCAACAAACATACTTGTTATGGCCAATGTTATCAAACACACTGAAACAGACAATAGAAGCTAAAAACAGGCGCCTACTTAGAGTTATTCATTTACGTACTGACGCGTCAAACAATGAAATCTGATTGTCCGAAAAATTCAAGTCGGAGACGTTCATTCTGTTTAAGTTTCTTAACAAAACTCTAATCATTACACCAGAGGTGTTCAAATCTTACATTCAACACAAATTAGTCAAAATGTACTTTTTGATGCATCAAGAGGAGCGCTTCATACCGCACTTACCTACAGGACGCCCCTCAAAGAACATAAGTGAACGGAAACACACTTTTTTTGATTTGCTATTAGACTTTATTCTATAATTCGAGCTTCATCACTACTTAGATTATCTCAATATCTGTAACACGTCTATAAGGTTAAATGCCAGAGCTGTCATATATTAGAGACCAGCTGCCTAGAAACTTAAATAAAGCAATTATATATGTTACAGGCTATTTATTAAAATTCAGACAGATTTTAAATCAGCCTAGGCTAACTTAAAATCGAGCTATGCAGACATCTGAATTTTAATATAGCCTGTAACATATATATAGTAACTATAGTAGTAGTTCACACTTCGATTAGTTGTTTCGAATAGTTAGAACTCGATTAAAATAGAAAAATCCCTTTTTCTCTTTCTTTCGCTTCATTTCTAAACGAATTAAAGTATTTGGAAGACTATTAATTCTGAAATCGTATGCTGAGATATACAATAAAATGTTCTGTACAAAATGATATATTTCCTGATTCTCATAAACTTTTGTTTTATGGAAATATGAGTTTATTAAGATTTTCTATTGGAAGCTAAAGTTTTTCAATTAGGCACTAATGTAGATCAAAGTTTTGGTTCTAAATTGAAATGTTTTTCAAAACGTCGAAATATTTCCACCCAAAAGTTATTAATCATTTATTCGAAACTGTATAAAATATGAAGATTATACTGTGACATTTATATCACAGAATAGAAAAAAAAAGCCAAATTTCTTCGTTGTATAACCTATCGCTAAATTGTAACCTTAAACTAACAACAGTTTAATACGTCTAAAAATAAGACTATCTATTAGTTGCTTACCGTCACGAAAAATGTCGCAAAGACAATGACATGGGGAAACGAGAGATGATATATAATTTGTCTTGCGTGGGTGAGACGTTTTATTTTTTATTTTCATTATTTGCATAAGTACATTTTTGCAATGAGAAGGGAGAGAGAAAAAACCAATAAGACAGAAAGAGAAAAAAGTAAGCATCAGTCAAAAGAAAACAAATTTATATTTGTACAAATGAGAGATTGACACAATACAAACATCTAATAGAGATGCCTGATAACAAGAGTATCCTTACTCTTTCTAACATATCGGAAATAATGCGTTTCATCATTATAATTATATGAAGCAGAGAAAAAAATGTGGGTAGAAGTACAAAAAACATGAAAAAGTAAAACATAAAAATACGAAAAGATAACAATGAAAATAAATATTTTTCGCATGAACAATCATTGCCATATTTATTAGTATGTAAAATAATAGTAATTTTTTGACAATAATCTATCTCCAAAAGAAAGAAAACAAATTAAACATATATATGGGAGCACGATATCTGTGGTAGAAATAACATTGATAGCTTGAAAAAAAAATTATCACAATCACAATTATTTTATCCTTGGCGTAAAGTCATGAAACACTCTGATACTATCTGGAAGGCGACAGCATAACGAAGAAATATTTGAATTTTTTTAACATATATTAGTAAATGTTTGCAATTCATAACTAATGCAAAAGGATAAAATCTAGCTTTATATGAAAAACTTCCTATTTTTCATATCGTGTATATAACTCTCCCGTTATTCTTTCATTTACTAGTTGATAAATCAAATTAGCTGACATATTAATCTTCGTTTAACTGCATCTTTATTTTCGGCATGTGTCTAATTGAATTAGCATAAACTTTATAATATAGACTCAACTGGCGACTACTCAATACCAATATGCATAATTGAAATAAAACTCCTTCTCTTTTGTAACACTAGCTCAACAAAACTAGACAAAAATGAGAGAAGAACTCGGTTTTCTCCTACTTTGAACCTCGACCGATAAAAATGTTTAATAAAACTTGTGAAGGATCTAGATTTCGAAAAAGCAATTTATATACGAAAATTCTTACTTAGATTACAGGTAGAATCTACTCAATCAAGAATGCGGTACCTAGTAGCAAGCAACGTTGATTTTTTTTTCATGACATATAGTTAATTATCCGTTAAACGTGATCATGCGATCGAGAAGATGGAAAAACAAAGATTTTCTAGAACCTTTTCAAGAAAAACTGTAAGATTGTCTAGAATGTTTTTGTATATTTATTTGTAATCAGGTTTGGAATTTTTTCTAAAAACACAAGTACTACTATTAGATACAGCGTAGTCAATTACGTATGTTCTATAGGATTTTAAGATATGATTTCAAGTCATCGGATACCGGTCACTGAGCATTAAATCTGACACCACGCTCGAACTACTTAAAATCAAGGTTATTAAACAAAAATAAAGATAGCTTAACTTCCATCTTGAGACCCTTTAGACTATCTATTCATGTAAAATACTATTAGATTGTTATTGTAATAGCTGAAGAGTCAAACTGATTTGTCAAGAAAACTTACTCTGAAAACTGTCAAAGTTGCTTTGTATAGGAAAGGTATGTCTCGATCTTGGTTTTCAAATAGCAAATACTATACTCTGATATCCATCTTCGTAATGGAAAAATGACCGAGTTCATCTTATTTCGAAAGTGATAGTTGTATCCGTGCTGGAACCGGTCTGGTAGAGACCAGTATTTCACCGGTTGAAACTTGTGAAACATCTGCTCGTTTTATCCTGTTTTTCGTCGAAAAACTAAAATTTCACGTCTTTTTCAGTTAGAATAAAGAAAACGATGCTCAGGACCGATATTATTTTCATCATTGTTTTAAGGTTAAATATTACAGACTCGTTATTGGGAAGGTTCTCTCACATGTGCTCGCAAATTATTTCCTTTCTGGGGGAAATTCTTTCTGAAAATCGATTTTCAAAAAACTTCACCAGGTTTTCGCTGGTTTGAGTTTTAAATCCACCCAGCTCGTTTATCGGCCGGATCAATCCGGTTACACTTTCAGACCGAACCGGTTTACTTTTTCTCAATCGGTTCCAGCTCTTAGCTGTATCATTTTTATAATATAATATATATTTGAGCTAACTACATGAAAATCATTATGCATTCACATATTTGTCGTATATTGTATTAACAAAATGAAGTTTTAGTTCAATAAAAAAGTATTAAGAAATAGTTTGTCTCCGAATGTGGTTAAATCCATCATTAATCTGCCGATAATCCATGTCTAGATTTTTTTAGATGATCTTTTGTAAGGTGTTTACCAATTAACTGGATCTTGGACACGTTTCTTAAAATATCATAAGTTCCACACAGTGGCGGATTTAGTGTACTGGCGGTGCTGGCGGCCGCCAGCACCGAAATTTTTGATTCACACTATTATATTCTCCTTCTTGAATAAAGGAAAAGAAGTAAAAATTGTGTCGTCTAGAAACTCCTAAGCAAAGTTGCTAAACTTGCTATTGTCCAAATCCGCCAGCATCGAAAAAATTTTCTGGATCCGCCACTGGTTCCACAGTTTGAATACAATCACAAGTATACTCTTTTAATTCATATATTTACATGTACAACTCTGTTAGTCTTATTCAAGTTACCTTGACAACAGGCTGAGTTAAATTAACCGCTTCTTATCTGCGCATTGAAAGTTGAAGAACAATAAGTTTTCAATTGTTACTGAAACATTTTTGAACATAAAAACTAAAATTTTCAGGAAAACTGACATTATACGTAGTGCTCTTTCACTAGATGCGTAGGCACTTTTTATTGGTTCAACCAATCACTGATCGGATAACTGAAGTTCTCGGTAATGGATGAGTGGTGACGCTCATTATCAGAGCACAGAAAATATCTGAGCTTTAAATCCAGGAAACACTAGTACTACTATGTGCACGTACATATATATAACTTAGTTATTTTTATTCTAATACTTCACATACAACCAGTAGTTCACTTTGTTGCTGTCCGTAAAATACCGAACAGTGTCGTTTCTCTCTCTCTCTCCCTCTCTCTTTCTTGAGTGCTTACAACAAGCATCTATTTCTTTTCTTTCTTCGATGATAGTTTGATTGCTGTGACAAAAATAGTTCAAGATCAAAGAGCCATACAAACAGTTTAAATACAGCTGGCGTCTATTTTATTCTGGTACATTCCATCTCTTTTTGTTCTTAATTTAACAATCAACTAAAAATTCCACTTCTGACTCGATATAACGTTACAAACATCGACAAAACATAATCAAATGGCAGCTTCACCCGATGTTGTCAAAAAACCTGAAACTGTTGGTTTTTTATTGTCTATAGGCGAAATTATTTCGAACGATCAAAAAGATGAAATAGTAGCTCATGTTAAACAAGGTAGATTGGCTCATGTTCTATGGTGACATAACATGGTTGCATTTTTGTTTCTTATTTTTAGGTTTAAATCTAGTCGATGAAAAATATTTACCGGTTAAAAAATTATTTGACAATTTAATTGATGATCCACAAAATGAATTTAAAGCTGGTAAGAATGAAATAGAACAAATTCTATAAGAGCTCTTGTATATGGTTAATGAAACACTTTTGGTATCGGACAGAGCAACTGCTCGAACAAATAATGGAATATTTTATTTTTAGTAAATAATAATTATTTTGTTTACCGGTAACGTACTTAGTATGTATTGTACGAGAACCTTACGATTTTTTAGCCTCGCACTCTATTTCTAAACTTTTATGTGGAATAGTATGATAAGAAACATTCTCCATCGTATAAACTGCTATTTGCTTTCTCTTATCCATACGAATAATTTTTTAGGTCATATATTTTGTATTTGTGATTAATTTTTAGATTCCCAATATCGTCAAATAACAAGTAATGATAGTGGAATAGCTGGCTTTTTATATTTACCATCGTATCAAACATTTTGTAACGTGCTCAAAGATTTATTTTCACATTGTCAAAATGTGTGCATTATTTATTCTGGTAAAGAAACAATATTTTTGTTTTTGTACATTAAAGATGGAGCGCCTTTATCTTTTCTACTTAGAAAAACGCTATATTGAGAAATATTACATGTTAAACTCAAGGGTATTTGTAAATACGCATTCAAAAAAAGCTAATACAACTTGTAGACTTGAGATATTTCACTCTGCACATTTTTCTATATAGCGGGTCGGTTGACTTCTTCTGTGCTGATGGTCGTTAACGCGTACTCAGTTTTTGCTTGCTTATAACTACTATTGGGAAGCAATTGTTAATGTGAGTAACATTCTACTCATTAAAATATATAACAGAAACATGAAGAGGATAATTTATCGGGAGTCAGTGGGACTAGTCAGTTACTAAACTACTCAACTTAACATCAAATAAGTCATTATAAAGAAATCTAATACTTTTCTTTATTTGTGTTTAGGTCAACAATTAGATACAAATGGTTCATTCGTCTTATCTGATTCATTGTTTTCTTGTGAAAATTTTCAATCTTTAGAAGAGGTGAATGGCTGGTCAGTGAATGAACTACAACTGATGATGCCCTATGTTAGTCAACAATGGGCGAAATTTTCAACAAATTATTTACAAAAACATATTCAAACTGTATCCATTGAAGAACTATCATCAAAAACAAAAGATTCTACGGGGGATTTTGGTGAAAATTTTTACTCAAAATTTTCTTCGATATATACACAAATTGATTTAGATCTGTATTCTAAAATGGTACCATCAACCAGTTCGGGTACACTAGCATTGGATGAACCAAATCTTTATGTTTTATATGGACAACAGGGAGAAGCATCCTTATTCGGTATAAGAGGATTTGTTGTACTTATTAATGGAGGTTACAGGTATGTTTCTGGAAATGAGAGAGTTTAGTGGTATCTATGCTTATGTGCAAAAAAGTTTTTTTATGCATCTATAGCTAAGAATTTTTGTTAATTTAAGTCGCTATCCATCCTATTGGAATTTAATTCGTGGTATTCAAAGTATTGATGCTTGTGTGTTAACTCATTTTGATCATGATGTTTTATCTGGTCTGCAATCGATTTTACATCGTAAAACTATTGTAAGTCCTGAACAAAAATCGATTAATCCCGATATTGGAGCAATATTTTTAAATCAACATCAAAAAACAAAATTATTTTCACAACAAAATAAATCATCCGTTGGTAATAATAATAAATTACAAGTAAATCTTAATCAAAATATTGATCAATTTTTATCTGATATAAAACGGTTACAAATTGAAACATTTGATTTATGTAAACCAAGTACAAAAGGACAGTTAGAACCAATTAACTTATATAGAAAAATTGCGTTCGGTTCACTCGATTTATATCCGTTACATCCGACAGCACAATCCGATGTGGAAATAACAGCGTTGCAAAAAGTGAGTAGTTAATTATGTGATTATGGGCTATAAGGAATAGAATAAAAAAAAGTTGGAAAGAAAAGTAGTTTTGTTCAGGACACCTTCGATGATTACTGTTGTATTATTCCATCAGTGTCAACTCTTTTTCTTCAAATTCACCGAACATATGTACAAGGTCATTTCAGTGATCTGTTTTTTCAAGTTCTATTTTTGTGCAGAAGGAGTGTCATATATCGCTGAATTTTGAGTTTATGGATTTGTAAAGCTGAGTTTTTTGGATGTGAAATGATTGTTAAATTCATTCATGATGCACCGAAGGATTGTTCTTATCAATTTATTTAGCGTCATAAGAGAAATTTTGGTTTATCAGTTGGTTAAAAGTATATGGAAAACATCTTGCTATAGCATATGTATTATTTAAGTTTTTGCGATTTTTTTTCGTTTTGGCCTTCAATAGAGCAAATCAAGAAGAGATGTGCTGTGCTATCGCTCTTCCACGTGTTATATTTTCAGTTAAATTACAGTTGTAATTCTTTCTCACATTGCAGATACTAATAAATGATCATCCACCATCTTCCCACATTCCTTCTCATCATTGGTTATCTTCATGTTTTCTATTGGTTTGGTCACCATCAAAATCAAGTAAACAAGATTACGTAAGAATATTATATACCGGTGCATCTCCACAAACAGTGGTATTTGAAGCATTGCAAAAAGTAAAATATTTCGAGTTTTTACACGAACCAACGTATCGAAATAAATCAGGAGTAACACCACAAGTACCAAAAGCACAGAAGGCTAAACAAGCACCGCCGCCTCCACAAGGTGCGGCAACTTCAAATGCAGCAACTTCAAGTACAACAACTTCAAATACTCAAAAAGAGGCAAAGAATGATCAAACAACAGTTCGTCCAAAATCACAACAGCCATCGTCAACCGCTTCCCCAGGAAAGTCGACAACGAATGCGGGTGGTCAAAAGTCAAAACACGCTCCTCAACCTCCGTCGACAGCAACAAAAGAAAAACCTAAGTCGGCACCACTAACGAAACAACACTCAGTAACAGGAAAAGTAAGATGACTGATGTTTGACAACTAGTTCAGTCTGTCCATGAGTTGCGCTGGTTTCTACCATGACCTATGTTTCCTACTCAAATATCTTGCAACCATTAGTTCAAATATTTTTGTGCAAAACAGATGAAATTAATGCGTAACCGAAGCTATAATTTTTTTGTTTCCACCTGTTTTGCGTCTATGAATTTAAAGTCTCATATATGCTTGCTAAGCGTTGTTTCTAACGAGTTCTCAGACTACCAGTATGACAAATTATTGTATTTTATTTGTTTTTTTCTACAGTCAACAGCACCACCGGCAACACCGAGAACAACGATAATAAGTAAAAAACCAAAGGCCGCACCTTCAAAAGGTGCTTCGAATGAGGCATCAAAATCAGAAAAAGAATCGTCCTCAAAAGGAAGTCAAGGTGATGAAGATGGGGAGGAAAAAACAAGTGAACATGTAAGTACAGCGTATAGTCAAGAACTGATGAGAAGATCTTTGTGTGAATTGTTAATTTGAAAGAACAAAATTAGCGTAGTAAAAGTGAAAAGTAGTCGTTTTTGTCTGAATCGTTCTTCCTTTAATTTACTTAACAAGACAATCGAACTGTCTTCTCTAATTAACAGGAACGTGCAGAAGAAGAAGGTGAAGATCATGTCCAACATGAAAATGGTCATTTATTAACTCACTTAGCATCCAGTGTAGCCGATACAGCATCCACTGTTGTTGAGAAAGCGTCAGATGTCGTAGAAAAAATAACAAATGCATTTACGACTAATAATGATGAAAAAACTGAAGATGATGTGCAAGAACGTGCTAATCATGTCGAAGAAAGAGCACTTGATATTAAGGAAGACGCCGAAGAAAATGTTGAAGAACACGAACAAGAAACAAGCGGCCATCATGAAGGTTATACATACGATGAACGACAAGAACGGAAATCAATGAAACTAGATCAACACAATGATCAAGAGGATAAGATTGATTCATTAGCTGATCCTGATTTAATGGTACCATCAAAAGATTTTGGAAGAAATGACGAAAAGAATGAACAAACGTATGTATACTACGCAAAAGTAGCAACACCTCCGTAACTCAAGAACCATGATAACTACGGACTTCTAATTTTGTGTATTCATAACTCACATTGGATACTGATCACCCCATCAGTATCGGCCTCTTTTACTGCATGGTTCGTGGGATATAAGCATTTTCCTTCTTTTCCTTAGAATGCTAATAATCCCTGCTAATACTCTTCGACAACTGTAGACTATCCAGTCAAAGTATCAAGGTTAATTATTGTGTATTTCCTAAAATTAATTAAGAACGAGCACTCGCTATTGAAACATACGAAGGGGAGGAGGATGAGGAAATAAGAGTTATCCTTTCGACTGTAGAATCTGCATTCAACGCACATCATAATCATGAAAAAATATGATCATGACAACCTATGAGGAGGAGAAACGTAGATGAAGCTTTGTCAGGAAGAATACACACTCACTCTTAACGAAGGGAGAGTGTGTATTTTTGAGACAAGAGTTTCGAGTTTCACATAATATATGTATAATACTGTGTTTTTCTTTCTATTATTTGTTTATAGATTAAATGAGAGCATAATGAAACGTCCTGAATCTGTTGGTTTTATGCCGCAACCGGCGTCACAAACAAACACAGAAGTAAATGATACATTCGTCGTAAGTGGCCCAACAACACCGTTAGATGAGACACAAACGCGTCAACCTCAAGATGTTATGACAACAAGTTATATTGACGGCAATAATGTTCGAAATCCATTTGAGGAAAATAATCATAAAGATGATATTGAAATTATTCATCATGATCTATCGCAAAACGCATCAGTTGCAATGACAACTGAAGATGTATCAAAAATAAAACCGTTAGGACTCCCAAAGCCAACGAATGAACCATCTCAAGCCACCACAACTACAACGACAACTTCGTCGAAAAAAGCACCGGTAACAACTAAGAAACCAGCTGGTACAAACGGACATACGGCAAATGGTGGTAGTAGTGCAGCTGCGTTGAACACAACAATGGCACGGTAAGAATATTTCTTTAAATTTTCAGAATTTTAGCATACTTTTTTGATAATATTTTTCAATCGCCTAGCGCATATTCTTAAGAGAAGGATTTTTATTCGTACATCTTTTTGAGCAAAGACTAAACGTTAATTATTTCGTGATTATCATTTCAGGCCGTCGAATGGCTCAATAAATACAGCAACTAATCAGCAACAGCAACAGCGCAAGCAATCAAAATCGTTTTCACCATCTGCACCCATATTTTATGTTGACGTTGCTTATATTCCACATCACGGAAATGAAAATTATGTTGATAGTGAATTTTTTCGTCGTGTACGTGCAAGATATTATGTTTTAAATGCTGTACAAATATCGCGACAAACATTAGATGCTCTAGTGGAAGGAAAACAACAATGGGATAAAAAAGATTTACAGGTACTATCTTTTAGATTGAACAAAAATATATTTGTGTTTTTATCGAGATCAGGTAAGGTGGTCATTTAAACAATTGAATATTCAAATATATTATTTAAGTAAATAATTATTTGATCAGTTGTATATTTGTCTACTACGCGTATCCAATAAATTGTTATGGTATTTTTTTTATGTTTCAGGTTACTATCGTTCCAACGTTTGATGGTGAACAGTTACGTTTATTTTTTGTTACGAATAAATCTCGTTTACAAGAATTAAATATAAATATAATGCCAGCTTCGACAAGATGTAATGTACAATATGATGAAAATAATGGATGTCCAGCTGTTCGATTAAGATTTCAAGATCAACAACAAGAGCATTAATATTGACAACAACAGTCAAAAATACATTTTTAAATATTATGTTATTCATTAATTTCTCATTAGGCAAATATGTTTATGTGCTTTTTATGTTGTGCTTGTGCGTATATATTCTCTCACTTGCATAGCAAGCTCTCACTTTTCTTGTAGCCACTTCTAGTCGTACAAATAATGTGTTTTCTTTCTTTTTTTCTTGCTCAGCATTTTTTTCTCTCACGTGTGTACACGGCGGCGTCTCTTTTATTTGTATCACAAAATCTCATCGAGGTTGAATGTCAGTGTTTCCATTATGTACTTTTTTTTGAAACTTTTTTTTCTATTCTCTGCTTTCTGTATGTAATTTTGGTGATGATGACAATATCATTTTGGCTTAGATTAATAATTCGTTTATTAAGTAATATATAAAATTAAATCGAATTATAAGTGTTTTAAAGCTAATACAATCCTGAAAAGATATGAAGAAACGAAGTTTAACACTATTAAACGTGGATTAGATGAAGACATTTTTCTATGAACTTCAAAATAACGTTAGCGTCTGGTTATTTGAATTGGATGTAGGTTTAAAATACCAAAGGTGATGAATATACATCTTGAATTAACCAATTTTTTTTCAACATTTAATCTTTAACCAGTAGCACTCAGGATATATACACGCGTGAATATTGTGAAATAATGTGGGAATACGTGCGAGAAAAAAACTGACATCTATGAGCACGTGAAATATTCACGAAACTTCTTATATTTTTCACATGTGGGCACGAGTGAAAGTCGTAGAATGATTTGTGAATAAACGTGAGAAGATATTCTCCCGTATGAGCACGCTTTAAAGTATGAAAAGTTCACATATGACTGCGTGCTTAATGTTGTAACCGCATAATTCCAACGGCCTGAAATTTCGACAAAATTATTTACTAAATGAAGCCTCTGTATTCAAAACCAACAAGATCGAAGTTAGAAGGCAAGCATTGATTGAGAAAAATAGGATGAATACATCGCCTTGCGGTCGCCGTTGCAAATGTCAAGAGTACAATGATCAAATTCTTATTCGGACAGAAAATGGTGGTCTTCTACTTGTCTCTTCGTGTTATAGAACCGGCATTTTATACACGTTATGTTCGTTATCATATGCGCTAGAAAAAGAAGAGGATGGCTATTGTTAGGCATTCTGCAAGACTCACAGAACCAGGTGGATATGATAATGAATTTAACTACAGACAGCTGTATTGTCAAAGAGCAAATTTACCATCTTCAGGAAATAAGTTTACTACGTCTTTGGTTCTACATGCACCTGACAATGCTTTAACAGCTCGAAGTAGATTTAATCGGTTAGTTGTGAACTGATATTTCTATGCAGTTAATAACAAATCAAAAGTTTTTCTGCTCACATTTTAAGTTTCAGGCTCTCACAACTTGTCTATTCGTAACTTTTTCGAACATACGAGTTTATGATTCAAATGTTCTAGTTTCCACTCACCACTATTGCACAATCAAACTTCTTCAATGATTAATTTGTATAGTTAATTAGAATTGGGTGTCATTGCATTGCTGTTTTGTAATTTGTTTGTAATCAACATTGAGAGTTCAACAAGTATCGTTTAAAGGCTACAATTCTATTTAATTCGTTCACCATCAGGGCTGTCACGACCTTTCAACTTGGTGGGAACGCTTATTAATGATATGTTATGTACCGTAAGTGACGATCACTTGGCTTGTTTTCCCGTGGTGTATTGTACTTGTTATTCGATCACTGTATTGCAATCAGTGGCTATGTATTGCTGGCCACATTCCCCCAGTAACGTCAACCCTGTTGACCATCCCATCCAAACAGCATTGAGCCATATTGCTGAGATTGTATACATTACAGGATTAGAGGATATCTTGACCCGACATTTTGGCACGTATATTAAAGGTTGATATATATAGACGTCATGTAAAAAGTGTTCATCTGTTTATTATACCATTATATAAGGCTCTCTCAGCTGCCACAAGTGTTCCGTCGAACACTATTGTCAAAGTTCTAATCGAAACCCGTTCCATATGTTTCAGAAATTTACAATGGTTTTATACATGTTCAAAATGAAGATGTTCACTAGCAGAAATATCTATCCATGAAAGATTTTTGAAGCAAATTACATCATGCGGAACAAGAACTAATTGACTAACTTGATTGTTTGGGATGTATGTTTTTCTTGTAGTTGTATTAATCATATTGGATAGATCTGTTGACTTTGTGTACATTCACCACCGTTCGAACACAATCACTATGATTCAGTAAATAAAGAAATATCATCGTTTAGAAACGCAATAGCAGTGTTAATAAGCGAACTGCGGGAAGCAAACTTGGTGAAATAAAAGTTGACGCTGATAGAAATTTAGTTATGATCCTTATCACAAATCAAACTATTGTCATCGGAGAAACTCTTGAATGGGATATCAAGTCAAATGTTTGACGAATGTTTGCTAAAAAGCTTTTTCGGAATGATATTAAACTTTTTGTATATGTTAGAAGAAGAATCTTTCTATTGTAGTGATACTTTTATCGTTATTGTAAATTCTCAAGAATTTTGACGAGATCTTCACTATTCTCTTTCATTTGAATTTTATATTTATTACATATTCAGTTCGCTTAAAAGTTTGTGTACTGGTCTCACAGCTGCTAATCTAATTTCTGGTACTTCAATTTCTACTTCGTCTAAAGTCTCCTTGAATTCGAACAGTTCATCATCATTTATCGTTGCTCTATCATTTAGATAATTCAATACTTGAATTCCAATATTTCCCACTTGTGACAAATTTTTTGATAATAGTTTTATTTGTACTACTGATTCATTCTTGTTCTTACGAAGAAATAATTCTTTTAGTTCCATATAATTCGTAGACCATTTTTGAAATGTTGTTTTCAATATCTCTCTCACAGTCTCATTTGTTTTATAAGTGATTAAACGTTCTAAATCGTACACTGTTTCACTTTCTGGCTGAAGCGCATCTACGAATTCTACCATGGAAACTAAACTTGTATATTTTCCAGTACGATAACGATCGTCCCGTCCCAACGCTTCACAAACATCAGCAAGAGTTTTCAAATGAATTAAAAATTCGTCTCCAGCAAATTTTTTTAATTTTGACATGTATTTTGATAAATGTTCTATACCAGTAAAACTAAGTTGTCGATTAATTATTTTAAGTCGATCATACATACAGTTGACATTAGTTACATGCTCTGATGACCAATATCTTTCGGCTAATGCAACCGCTCTGGGCCAGATGCGAGAATCTACGGTATCTGAGCTAATATACTCACTCCACAGACAGATTTCGCCCCCTAAGATTTTTGATCTTTGTTGATTGTTGAGCCGCCACTTTGTGCTTTGAGTTGGATTTACAGAATAGTAAAAACCAGCTGGCTGCATTAAATCCAAATACGATTGATTTGATAGTATGGCTTGATAACCATATCGAGCCGCCGCAATGAGAGATCGTCGACCACGCCACGATTGAATGACAGAATCAGGCGAAAATTGACTCTTAGAATTTGTTGCATTATGGCTCAGATATGCTGCTAATATTTCATCCCAACCGATTATTGTTTTATGATGCTTTATTAATATTGTTTGAACACGACGTGTGAAGTAAGTTTGAAGATCATGATTGTCTCGAAGATGCATTTGTTGTTTAAAGTTCTGAATTGAGGTGGAATCGGTCCATTCTGAACCTTCAACTTCGTCACCTCCAATATGAAAATATTTATCGGGAAAAAGTGAAGCCATTTCTTCAATAAGGTCATCCAAAAATTTATATGTCGTTTCTTGAGTAGGATCCATTGTTGGTTTCATTACACCCCAGTGTCGTTCAATTTCATATTTTATATTTGGAGAACTAGCCAAATGAGGATATCCCACAAACCAACTTGTTGTATGAGCAGGTATGTCAAATTCAGGTATAATTCGAATTCGTCTCTCATTTGCATATTCTATGAGATGTCGTATTTGTTCTTGTGTAAAAAACTGACCATCCGAACCTTTCTGATGTAAAAGAGGATACTTCTTACTTTCAATACGAAATCCTTGATCATCTGTCAAATGTAAATGTAATACATTTAACTTGGCAAATTCCATAGCATTTAAAGTACGTTCTACAACAGATACGGGCATCCAGTGTCTCGAAATGTCGAGCAACAAACCTAAATATAAGATATAAAGAGGTAAACTGACGAAAACCAGATCATCTAAGATACACTTTGATTTTATAAAAGCGAAATATTACGAATATTTATTGCCACATATTACAATTATTGTCTGTATGAAAACATGTTACATACCTCGCCACGGAAATCGTGGTTTGTCGATAATCTCAACTGCAGGAATAGTAATATCATCAAATTGACTAATTTGAAGTAACTGTACAAATGTTGCTAGACCCCGATTAACACCCGTTACAGTTATTGCATGTAAATGAGCACTCTCAGTCGATACAATTAATTCATAATATTCATTTTCTCCTAATACAGGATAATTTGGATTTGATCCATTGTAATGAATAAATAATGCATTGTGTTCTCGTCCTGTTCCTGACGTGTCATTACTTATTCGAATACCAGTTTTATTGTAAATATAAGTGCCAAATCGTTGAATTGTTTTTCTCAAAAATATGCTGTTACTATTTATTGAAATAATTCGAAATCCTGAGAAGATGGACATAGTTCCTGATAAAAGAGTTACTTTCCACGGTATCGGCATAACATTTACGATAATAAAATTTTTTTCACAAAACGAAGATGTTAGCGAAATTTGCTTTGTGTTCATGCATTTAGCCGGAATACGGACAATTGATCTATATGAAAATGTGTCAAAACTTTCCAGACATTTTTTGCGATTGTAAATTGCAAAATAAAAGACATTCACTAAAATAGCCATGAGTAAGATGTTATATTTCCATTGTTTTAAACCCATACTGTAATTATTTGTGACTGAATTAAATACATACACAAAGTAAGACGAACGTTTTCGTACTCATTTCGATATGCATGATTAAGTTTTTTTTCTATAAAGTAGAATATTTTTTTTTCTTACTGATCAAAAAAGTTCCCCAAGATTTAGTCAAAAATAGGATCGGGTCATCCATTTAAATTTTAAGAGTGAAATGGAAACCCATAATCAAATTATTCTACAATTCGAGTCATGTTCAAATTGACTATGGTCATCATAGTGATAGAAGCGCACTATTTGTTTTTGATTTAATCCTTGAGCTTGGAAATTGTTTGTTCCTCATCGTTTATAGTATTCTATTCTCATTTACTAGACCATATCGTAAATCAACTGATGAACTTTGAATGTTAATTTGTTTTGTTATAGCATAGTTTAACCATTGAATCATGTGTTGAAACTGCAACATATATCGAAATTCATTTGATCCTAGTTCTTCCAGATGATCAAATAATAGAAAATGTATAAGGGCACGTGTGATGAATTTTACATTAAATATTTTAAATTTGTATTCAATTTTTTCTGATGTACAATCAATAGTTTTGTAAATTTTCACTTGATAGTCGATAGCACACGTCATGCAAATTAGTATACTGTCCATCATATAGTTTACACTCATAATTCATTACTATCATTCGGTTTGATGGTTCGATACTGTAACATATGTGCACGCCATTGTTATATATATATATATTTATTTTCTTGCTTTTCATCAGTCAACTTAAACTTATGGGATCCTTTGTTCTGTAGTGAATAAAACCTTGAGTGCACAACAAATAAGTTGTGTAACAGCTGCTCTTAATATGATTCAAAGGGTCAGTCTGCATAAGACTAGATATTGATCTACTGTATTTTATTGCTTCAGTGTGTTCGAAACTCATCGAAATCATCTTAGTCCATGATGTCGATCTTTCTGAACGCTTTCGGTTGAACATATTCAACGAAATCTACTCAAAAACAAACACTTCCATAACACCATAAGTATGACTGTAAAATCGAAATTTCTCCGTAACTATCCAGTACTTAGCCTAGTGTAATACGTCATTTAATGTGTCTTGAAAACCTCTACAATGTGTTAATAGGAAGCTTAACCGAGTCTCGCAGCATCCTTTGGCAATTTAATAAGATCATATGTCCCAGCTATGACACTGCAGCTAATCGGTACCGGCTTTCCCTAAAACTCAGGACTCGTACTCGATGACTTGAATAGTCTTGAAATTGGATGGAACGTAGGAAATCGACAACGCTGAATCTTTCAGCAATGTTTGTTTTTGAAAACAAATGCAAAAGTCTGTGAAAACCAAGTTTTATGAACATTAGGGTTTCCAGATTGTTTTCACCTAATACAAAAAAGTTCATTATTCACCCAAAAAACGTCAGAACAAGTTGGAAACTCCAGAATGTACAGTATTTAGCGTATTGCATATAATATTTAGGTGAAATCTAGAGAAAAGAATTATAAAACTCTATCGTTTGTGAAAAATGTTTCTTGAAAAAGTCCGTGAACACATCCATGATTTTGTGATGTTCGAATGATATGTTCAACTTTAGCGGACATAATTAATCATATCCTGAACAGGGATGTGACGATGGAAGAGGTGCGCACCCTCCCACTTTCAAAAAATGATGACTTTTCTCCATGAGATCTGATTTGAAAATTTTGCTTTTTAAAGGCTGACTCCCCTTTAGACTTTGTCGAAATGTCTGAACATATGTACGCAACAAGAACACAAGAAGATTTTGCCAGCTGCACCCCGTCATTTTTTCGCTACATCCCTGATCCTAAAGGCTAACGACCTTCTGAAATCTGGTGGCGATACGGTATAAACCAGATAATAATTAAACACTTTTTGTTTCTTTCAACAAAACATCTTTTCATCTCAATTTCGTCAGAATGTTTTTTTGTGCATACTTTCAGGTATATACTACACATTGAACAATATGTCTATCGTTTAATTATGTTGTAGAAACAAAGTTAAGTAGAGAACGAAAAAATTTCGCCGTTTCGCTGTACGACGTAAGAGAAAAACAGCACGTTAATTTGATTTCTTCTTATGAACTTGATAGTCGGCTGCCATGAACTATTATGTTTTCATCATAGTTCAGCTACTACTGTCATTTCCTGCTCTAAAACAGTAACAAATTGAAAATTGAAATTTAATCTCAAAGGTATGTTTCTCTAGCAAGTGCAAAGCCTTCAGACTTTTCATTATCTCCGTCTAATACACATGATTAAAAAGTAATAAAAATAGTTTACTTTTGAACAGTTTTGTGCAGATTGAATTACAAGAATTAAGAGATTCGATAATTATTTACAGAGAATTATTATTTTCTCATAGTTGCTTGAAAGTTTAATGTGGTTACTATCAAAATGACTCGATTCTTATCTAGAAGTACACAAACATCAGTCATAAGGATTTTTCAATAATAAAATCAACGATATATCAGCCTAAAACCAAAGAATCTGAAAATATCACAATAAAATGCTGTTCGTAATTATATCTGGTTAATGGTAGTGAAGATTACGATATCAATATTTATTAATAGTTTAGATACTGTCGCAATTCTCCTTAAGTATCTGTATTGTGATAAGGTCGGATAAAAATACTGTTACTACCAGGCATGGGCGAGTCCGAGGAGTACCGAGTCCGAGCCAAGTCCGAGTCCTTAAAAAGTCAAGCCGAGTCCGAGTCCTTGACATTAAGGACCGAGTCCATTTCGAGTCCGGTAATTTTTTAGATTCTTTCTTTGATGGGCGTGGTTTATTTCTCTTTTATAATTTACTGAGCCCTGGATAGATATTTGATTTGTCGAAAATAAGATTACTTTGTATGTCTATTTCCTGAACAAAATTTTCAACTTCTTGTGAAACAGAAGGTGTTATTATTTCGCTCTTCATTTTTCTCTGCTCATTTGTGTTGAAAGTTGAATAGATCGGACTCGAAATACAAAAACTCAAGTCCGAGTCCGAGTCCTTTAAAAAATCTCCAGTCCGGGGCCAAGTCCGAGTTCGCCAAAAAACCTTCCAGTTCGAACTCGGACTCGCCCATGTCTGGTTACTACACATTTGGATCAGCTTTAGTGTGAGGATTGTGTAAAAACGAGCAGTGCGTTTATTATTAACTACTTGTTTTGAAATGTTTCGTTTGGCATCGAAGTGTGGTCAATTACTTTTAGTCTATAATCTTTTTCAATAAATGATTCACTATTAGCATAAAGAAAATCTACACATAGTAAAGCTTCCAACTGTTCTTTTATGTACTTATATATAACAATCAGAATATAATGAATACGATGATAATGTAATTAAGCGTTTAATGAATGTTTTTGTCTATTAGAAACTCTAACTATGGCTTATTACTTCCGCTACGAAGTTCATATATAAGTTATTATTTTTAATATAAACTATATTTGTTTATTAGTTTTTTCTACGTAACTGTCTAACACTGTACGAATATTATGACATTCGTTTATATTTATAACGACTGCCTAATAGATTACCCATTTAGTACTGAATATTTAATTGCATTGGAAATATCTGTTAGAAATTAAACGTACAGTACTAAATGGATAATTAACGAAGGATGTGATTGACTTTTTTAGAAATTTTAAATTTTTTTTCCGACACTTTTTATTCTCAAAAATACTGATGAAACTATAAACAACGATATAAAAATGATATTCTATTTTTTTAGTTGACGTGTGTCTATTGATCATGAATCTGTACGTGAACAATAAGGAAATCAAGAATGTAAGTTTAATGAACTGTTTTCTTGTTTGTAGAACAAAATTTTCAAACTTTTGATCGCTTTTAGATTATTCCCCTTGCTGGACGATTTATTCAATCTCACTCACCAATAACAAATTCAAGAAGCCTTTGCGGAAAGCAGAATCCATATATTTCCGAAATTGAGAATGGATCACACAAAGTTGACGTACATATTTTTAATTTTTATTTCCATTTAAAATAATTGTTTTCTTTTAAACTGACTGAATATTAAGATTATTTTATTTTCATAGAGCTTGTACCTAATTGTAGACAAACAATTTACCAGAAATCATATTTCATATATCAAAAATTTGGCATATTTTCTATTTTAACTATCGAGCTTTTGAATCATTCAATTATTAAGAGATATAAATGTCTTCGTAATTAATAGAAGCATTGCTGAATACCTTTTGAAATGATACTAATTAGATTTGTGTATTTAGGTTGAACAGTTTTATTTTAAAGTCAAAGACATTCTAAATACACTTGCCGAATCCAATGAAGTTGCAAAACAAATCAAAAATGTTGACAATGAAGAATTATTTTTAGCAAATGATCTTATTACATTAAATATTCGTGGTAAAATTCTCTTTACATCTCGTTCAACTCTTTTACGTATTTCAAATACAAAATTATCTCGTTTATTTACGAATGAAACAAATATTGATAAATTAAAACGAGATCAAAATGGTCACATTTATTTTGATTATAATCCAATATTATTTCGTCAATTATTAATAATAATTGGAGATTATGCTAATAATCTTGAAAGATTAAATGGACTATTTAGATTGTGCTCTGAAGAATTTAAAACATTTGTTTACCAATTAGGTTTTGATGATTATTACGTTAATGGGATAACAAATTTACATGAACGATTTTGGAGAACAATTGGCTACGGAGCTAAATTAGATGAAAACAAGAGAATCGTTCAACATATCAATAAATCATGGTGGAATAAAAGTGAACCAATTATCATAGGTGAATAGTTTTTTTTTTTTTTATGTAGATAAAAAGATAGAAATCTATTAGATTTGATTTTATAACTGAAATTTTAGGTAAAAATTTGTATTCAAATGGAATAGCTCGTTTACAATTCATTATTGAAAAACGTCATAGACGAATGTTTATTGGAATTATGTCATCATCATTTACGAGAAAATATTGTGATGATTATTATCCGTCTGTGTACGGTTGGAATGAATGTTTGATAATTAATGGTCAGGAACAATATGTTGACAAAAAATTTAGTTTTACACATTTATCTATTCTACAAGGTGATACAATTGAATTGGAAATAAATTGTTTAGATAGAAAAATAATGCTTCTAAATAAGCGATCACGTATAAACTATGAAATATTAATCGATTTAAATAATTGTCCATTACCGTGGGTACTACGTCTTCGACTATTTTATCCGGATGATAAAGTTGTATTATTAAATCAAGAAAGTTAAATACATGTACATTTTTTAATCAAATTCAATTCACTTTATATTTACGTACATGATCCCTCGGTGCAAATATTAGAATATTAGTAATATAATACTTCAAAGACGCGATTCATGAGAAAATTTGTGTTTAAAAATCAATAATTTGTATTTCATATTTCAAAGTTTTGGCTATTGTAAATATATGTCAAGAATAAAAAAAAACGATTTTTCGTGTCTTTCAGGTTTAATGAAACTAAAAGTATTCATGTTGAGAGAAAATCTTTAATTTAAATTCACTAGTATAATTCTCTAGTAAAATCTCCAAATTATAGAACCTGTATTACTGTGAAAATATCCGGCAAATTGTCAAAACTTATCTCCATTTGTCTGTTTCGTAATCTACTCAAACAAAGAAAAATCATTGAGCATCCTTAAATGTACACAGATTCATCAATTCATTGGTCGATACATCTGGTTGCAGATAGAACTTTTTCTCGGTGGAATTGCTACTGTTCATTTCAAAATAGAAAATTGGGAGATGTTTATGTATGTTTGAAGGTTTTTTGAGAAGGATCTCCGGAAAACCTTCTTGGCAAAGGCCGATGGTGTGATGGATTTTTTAGCTTCAAATAATGGAATCGATAGCCCCGATAATTCTACACTACTTTCAGCTCTTTTGCATATTGCTTAGATCATCTCGCATATGGCGTTAGAATCAAACTACAAAAAACCCTAAAAAATGAGGTTTTGACAGCCAAAAAGAAGCGAAAGATGAACTTTTTCTCAACGATATTTGGGTTTTCAAGAGTGCCGATTATCTTCAAACTGTTTGCCTTCTACTCCAATGCCAGCAATTGATTTTAGCAAGAAGTACTGCAATTGCTTTGATTTGAGTATCAGAGAGAAGAAACATAACGACTTACTCTCATTTCGGAGAAACTCAAAGAGTGATTTACTCCGATTTTGAACAAAATCAAGAACGGTTTACTCATAATTTGAGAAAACTAATTTAACTAATTAGTGCCTAAGAACTATTTACTCCGAATTTCGGAGAAACCTGAGAGATGATTTACTCCATTTTTGGTTTTTACTAAAGTGCTGCTTTCTCCGAAAACTGATATTAAATGTGCTCTTTGAAGACGCTTTCTTAACCGACTTAGATGACTTATTTCTATTTTTTTCCGCCTACGTCTGAGAAAATTACAGTGAATGTAACGTTTAGGCAAACTTAATGAGTAATGCTCCTCAATTATTTATATTTCACCATGAGCTCGGAGAATCAGAGTTTTGGAGGCCTTACTCCCATTTTTGGATTTACCCCTCCCCCCTCCATGCTCCCAACCTCTTCGCGCCGCCACTGCAAAAAACAAGTAGTTAAATGAAATAAACATTTACTGTACAAATGGCATTGTTTGAACAATATTTTGTATAATATTTAATTTAATACTGTAGATAAACGACAATGTAATGATGCCAATGCATAACTAAATTTGCATATTCGACAAATTTGAACTGAAAATATATTTGAATCCTAGTCCTCTAGTTTATTTCTTTAAGTTAAGAAAGACTGTTGAGAATTGAGATTTAGAAGACTCATTATATCTGCTTGTTTTACGATGATTGGTGCCGCTTTTTAAAGATGATTATTCCAACATCATCTTTTCATTTTGCTACCATCCTTAGTATATAAACATTACTTATTTGTTTAAGAAAATGTACAGAATTGTGCATGGGTCGCGGCATGGGTTGCACTCTATAACTCATTCACCGTTTCGTTTTACAGCCGAACTTATATAAAAGAATGAAAGAAACATTAGAAATTTTACTGATTGCTTCCTCAACTTTAATTCTCGCACAGAGAGTCGTGTTGTCAAGAAAGAACGCGACTTTTCCGGGAGTCATTAATCCTGGGAATTCTGACAATAAAAAATATATTTTCGAAGTTCTCAGCGTGAGCAACGTGAGTCACGACACGCCCGGCGTGGCTCATGTCACAAAAAAGCTGTTTTTCTCGGAGTCGCTATAAAAATAGCGATTGGACCAAGAGTCACAGCGCGAGCGTCAGCGTACGCTCAAAACTATCAGATTCTTGCCACGAGTGTAAGAATCCGGTCAGAAGTGACCACGAAGTTAGATGAAGTCTCTAACTGATCGTGAGAAAACCATGATTCCGAATACCAATTCTTAGTTCGCGAGTCTTACGGCAATCATGGGATGCGGTCTTGCCCTGACTTTTTAACCTTGAATCAGTGTGTTTGAATAGTTTTTTGCCATTTCAAAAACGCTACTTTTAGGTATTGATGCGTTCTTGTTGTTAACAACTAAGTCCCAAAAATGGATTTAACGGCCTAATAACGGTCATTTAATAAATATTTAAAGAACTGTTAAAGATCATTTAATAGGTAATTTACTACACATTTTTCACTGTCCTGTGACTATAACTTTCTCTTTTTATTTCTTGCATAGTCGGCATGACTAATTTACTTCAGTTTTCTCAATAAAATAGCTTATGCAAGTGTTAGTTATACGCTACGGCTTTGTCATTTTTCTTGTGTGGTACTACAGCACTGATAAACGAAAGTGGCGCTGTCATTGATCTCCTTCTGCAAGAGGCCTTCTACACTATTTGATGCCCCACTCCTATATTTGCAGGACGTCTGAAACAAGAAAAACACGTAATTTTCTCTATCTGAGGAAGGAGAAAGATAATTCAGAAAACTACCGCTTTTCTCTGCGTTCTTCACAACCTTTCTTGATGTGACTGAAAGAAATAAACTAGACGGCTTGACTCGGACCCAAATAAATTTTAAATTTAAATTTGACTATTGGAGAAAACTTAGTTCGAACGCCTAAGAACGCACGAATGGAAACATTTTTGTCAACGGCCGTTAGATCTTTTATAGACGACATTTTTCGACTCCCATTGGCTACTGTCTCTAACATGTCTGGTAAAAAATTCGGTAGTTTATTCTGACCCGGTAGAATAATTTATTCGTAGTTCCGAGACAGGGCACTATTGAATGAGACTACATAATACTTTTACTAACTACTTTTACTACGACTACATAAAACTTAGACTAACTTATTTAATATATTCGTTTTTTATTACGGATAATGAGTCAAACCATCGATAAACTCCATGAAACAACTGACAAATATGAACTTATCATTATCTAAGTTCTTTCTCTACTTTTTAACTACGTTATTCTTCTTACATCTTTGCCACACTAAATACATTCGTATCCCACCTCTTGGTAATGCTATCATTCACGAAATAGTTTCACCAGTATTCGAGGATGATATAGTTCAAAAGGAAAAAACGTCTCGAATATTTTAAACGACATACCTACTACAATGATATTCTGTTAGATTATGAGAAATATTTAATATTAGTTTGATAAGAATCGTAGCATTTTCTTGAATAATAATCAATTAAATTAAACGTTTACCGTAAACAAATTTATAATGTAAACCATTTAAGCGTTTGATATCGAATAAAGATATCTCAATTGCCGAAACAGATAATATCTACGATGGACAAATGTTGTAGATGATGAGATGGAGAAAAATAATGCACCCTAACGGTAACAGTGGTGGTGGTAACAAGGGGAAAAAACATAGCAAAAACATCTATGAAAGCATGACAATGCTTAACAAAACAGGAATAAAATAATTTAAATCAAAGGGAAAAATTAGAACAATATGGTTCTTTGTTTTATTAGTCATTGGTAAAAAATTGTTTAGAATCTTCTCTCGTCTTATAATTATTGTCATATTAGCGATCAAGGTCGTTTCCTGCGTATTTTAGCAAACGATGGAGGAAGAATGCCACGAGATTGACTCCAAACTGTTATTCATTGCTTAGCCGAAATAATATCAATCGCACGTTGGTAACGGAACAAGCTAACTTTTGGGGGCATTTTAGTACTTATCTAAAGATCTTTCACAGGAAATTATTATCGTTACTTTTCACTGGGTACTGTTTTTTGTTTAAAGATGTGTAGACTTTTTTTGCATGATAAGTTATTTGTGAAAGATTTTGCATAACTAACAATAATTAATGGATAAACTGAATAAATCACTTGAAATATTGAAAACATTAAGTTTAGAATCGAATCATGAAAAGTAAGTTGAAGTTTTCTATGTGATGATGTAGACTCTAATCTCCAACTTTTTCATTTATTTAGATCCACAGAAAAAATTCATCATTTAAACTTAGTTGTTGACGGATTGCTTTTACCACAAGTTAGGTAATTGATTCTCACTTTAGAACTCCATTTTCTTTTTAATCACGATGTTGATTTCATATTTTTCAGAACGAATAATGATAATTATTTTAAAATACTTAGCACTGGATTTGAGACACTGTTTTCACACTGCGACGAACAAGATTATGATGTGCGATTGGCTGCAGAAGAAAATATTACAAAATTAGTGAAAGTAAGGAGTTTGTGTATGTACAGATGGTTAATGTATTTCTTTATTTTCTCTCATTTAAGAGTTTAAAAGAACTACAACTCACTCGTGTACAATTTGAATTACATCGAGTAATTAAAAGAAATCCAAATGTGGGACCACGTGCGTTAAAAGGAGCATTGTGGCGTTTTAGTGAACTGGCATCCGTTATACATCCAAAAAAGATACGGTAATTAAACTACCTGTTGGAACTGTTTAATGAACTAATTGATTATTCGTGTTGAACTTTAGATTGTTTCTCGAACATCTTTACGTTGCATTTTGTTCTATAGCATTAAGAACAGAAGAACTATTGTATGAAAAACTACCGGATTATTATCAAATGATATTTCGTACTCTTGGAAAATCAATGAATGAAAAAGAAGTAAAGGATCTTTTACAAGCTTATCTGAAAAATTTATCGAATGAATCAGCTGTTATTCGACGATCATCGGCATCTTGTCTCGTTGTCATATGTTATCATTGTCGACAACCATTATCTACATCACATTTTCTTTTAACATTTGCAGTAGGTATGTCGTAATTATCGATAACACGTAAGCACAAAGAATTATTTCTATTGTGTTTAGAAAATCTATTACAACAAACAACAAATATTTCACGTTTGATCATTACTGGTTCATTATTATTAGTAAAAAATCTAATACAAATGCTTGGCCAACATCGACAAGAATTACTTTCATCAACTATTGTCAATTCAAATCTATCGAAAAAAGAAGGCGTTACTAGTGATCAAATAAACACTAATAACATCATCCAGGTGTGTAGTTGTCGAATATTCTCGCATGTATTTATAAACGTTGACTATTTTGTTTTCTTGTAGTGTGTCGATATGTTGTTTTATTTATTGGGTCATGCAGATCATAATATTGTATCTGGTTCTCTAGAGACACTCGAAACAATTTTGCGATATAACTTTTTGTTTGAATTTGATCATATTTTGATGTCGACGGAATGCATAGCAGAAAATGTTGTTACAGAATATATTCGCAAAACGTTAACAGGTTTGTGATAACGAATGATTATCTTTGAGATAAATATGTTGTTCTTCTTTTCTCTTCAAACAGGTAATTCTTATCAACGGCCATTTATCGAGTTAGCAGCAGATGTAGAAGATTCGATAAACAATGAAGATACCAATAATGCTCAACTAATATCATTAGATTCAAGTTTAATGTTATCAGCATATACCGATCAAACCTCTCGTAGTTCAGCAACGAGATTTCTCGAATTATTGATTTCTAGGTTTCTGTCGGTCATTTTAGTAGTTGAAGATTTATTTATTAGTTTGTATTTTGTTATGTTAGATTTTTCCTCAATACCGATGGAACATTGAAGAGTGATGATGAAGTACGCGTTAGTGTCAAATGTGTGGCATTATCTTGTATGTCTCATTTGGCAACAATTGACATTCAGGGATTTTATGAGTCAACAATATATGGTTCTGAAGGTATATCAATGTAGTTTCAGTATAGTTGTACGAAAAATCTAGATTTTTGTTTATTTTAGCGGTCAACTATCTCCTATGTTTACGTGAACATTCTGATCCACATTTGCGTGGAGCTTTTTCGAATATGTTAGCCAGTTTAATACGAACTAGTGTACGTCAATGGAGTTGTTCTTTACAATTGTCTTCTTCGACACCTTGTTCACTATCGTCGTCTTTTTTAATTCAATGTTCAATAATCTCCAATGATTCACAGGAAAGCAGTCGAATTACAGATAGTATGTTTACTGGATTATGAACTGTTTCATCATGTTAACTATGTCTTTCTTTTGAAAGATCGTCAGATTTTGATTTTACATGAATTACTTAACTCTTATCGTATGTGTTTAAATGACATAATGCCACGTGTTGTTCATGTTAGTGTGCAATATTTAAAAACATTATTTCCCGTGTTACTCTCCAGTAGTAGTTCAATGGCAATGATAGCTCTTAGTCTATTAGAAGATTGTGTACAACACATCAATAGTTCATATATTCTAGTCAAAGTAAACTATTGATAAGAAAAAAATAAGTATTTCTTTAATTGAAATAATTCTTGTTTTTAGGTTGCTATTGCACAATTAATTAGCGTTATAGATTTTCGACTTGTTTATTTCATTGAACAGCAACACCAACAAACAACGGTAATATATTATTAAATATAGATTTTTTATCTCACTGTTTATTCATATTTTCCTTTTAATTAGACTCGTTTATGGTTAGAACGTTGTGTTGAGATTTTATTACTCTTTCTTCAAGATGATGACCCTCGCCTTCGCAATGTTGCTGCTGTGGCTTATTCTAAGTGTGTGCATGTTTTCGTTGTGTTTTCAGTTTTACTAAGTAATTTAGTATTTTTAGATTGGTTGATCAAAGTTCATTTATTTCTTGTACATGGCCAGCAGAATCATTATTAAAATGGCTAAATTCAAATGTACAATGGATTTATGATACTCATGAACAACAGTCAGAATCTTCATCAACAAAAATTTCGCCACTCGTTCATGAACGTTGTGAAAATATTTCGTGTTTATCAACAATAATTTTTGAACATTTGTGTAAAGCATCAACACGTACCCAATTGGTAAAATCCATATCGAATTGATCAAATGTCTTTATTCTATTAACTATTTTCTATTTTTTCCTAAGTTTGGGTGTTTGGAAGGGATTTATGAATTAACCGGTGTCCTATCACCAATAACAATAATATCATTTTTTCACAAAACTTTTGATGAATTACGTTTACTTTGTCATTTTTTGAAACATCCATTTATTTTACATGATCTAAATGGTTTACAATTATTATTACAAATCATACAAATTCTATTTGAAAGTAGGTTCTTAATCTTGTAAATAAATTGTTTATTGACTGTACAATATTTAGATTTATCAATTCATTATTCAAATATTGATGTTTCCCATAATCTAAAGAATCCAGCCGAAAAAGTATTGCATTTTATCATACGCTTATTATCTATTTATGCATGTGTTATTGATGAAACACCACCACCTATTTCCACATCATCAAAAATTAATTTTCCACAAATACCCACATCACCACAACAAATAAAAAAACGTTTTGAAAGTGCAACAAACAAGGAAGAAAGTATTAATGATAAACAAAGTAAGTGTATAATAATCAAAATAAGCAGACAAAAAAATATACTGTATATTTATTAATCTAGAAATTGAAAAAGAAGCTGCTGATATATCATCATTAAAAGATAGTACAAATTCGGATAAAAAATCAAATCGTACACTACTTGGTCAATTTGGTAATAATCCATCATTAATGAAATTATATGAACTTATTCGAACATCGTATCAAACCTACAAAGTATAAAGTAAAAACATTTTTTATCTATTATTTCAATTTTTTATTTATTATTTAGAGTACACTAAATACATCTGAAATTGATCGTTTTATACAATTATTAACAACAACATTAACATGTTTACAATCAACAATAAATATTTTACATTTACAAGGTATATCAAAATATTTAGAAGAAATTCTTACCTATTTAAAATCAACTTTTATTGTTGATAAAACAAATACAATTTTATGTACACATGAGGTAATAATTTATCTATAGTTTTATTCTTATTTTATAGAATTATTTTTGTTTTTTGATAGCTTTTGAATACATTACTTGCATTGACAAATATATTTACTCCATTGACGACAACAACTGTACAATCAAATGTGATGCAACAGAATCATTCAACATTTTCTTCGACATCTCAAAATATTTATACAATTGTATTACGTCATCCAATGTTAAACTTATTTCAACCAAGAAAACTGTCAAATACCGATAATACAGAGAATAATCGGTAAATTTTCACTTCTAAAAAATTTATTTTCATTTAATTAAAGAAATATTTTTAAATTTAGTTCCGTATCCTCGTCACTAATAACATCTAAAAAACGCAAGAAAATTGAATGTCTAAGACGACCACCAAATCGTGTTGAAAAACAAAAAATTGGAAATTATATTCGATTATTTGAAGCAATTGTTATTTTAGGATTGAAAAAATATGTCAATTCTAATGAAGTACAATTTCAAGCGTCCGTCTTAGATCTACTTGTTCAATTATTATTATTAAGAGTAAATTACAGTCTACTCGACGCTGATGAGGTACCATCATGAATAAAAATATTTTTGACATATCATCATTTTCTCATATATTTTAGAATTTTCTCAATCATGTTCTAAATCAATTGGAAGTAATCGAAGAAGCTGGTACAAATAGCGATATACCTGAATATTTTATAGAATGTATATTTGAATTTTTGGTTATGCTTTCACATGATTCATTACATTCAAAACAAGTGATTAAAATTCAAGATTTAAATAAACATACAGATAGTGTTTTAGCAAGTGGAAATAATCCACAAACTCATGGTACGATAAAAAGACAAGTGCGTAGTGCGGGAGGAAAATAGGATAGACAATAATATAAAATTTTGTTTTTACTTTTTCTATTTTAAACAAATTTTTTATTGAATTTTTATTATCCTATTTTATTTTATTTTAGCATTGACAGCATTAGAACCCGTTGTGATTGATTTATTTCTTGTACGTTATAAAAACGATAATAAAGAACTCGAAGCACAAAGAATGGTCATTGTTCAAACATTATTAAAACTTGTTCGATATAAAAAGGCTTTACAATTATTAACATTAATTCTTGAAAGTGTTAAAAGTGAAACAGAGAAATGGAAAAAACTTTCAAGACAAATTATTGATATTTTACTAATTAATATGCAATCAGCAACATATAATAAGGTTAGAAAATAATAGCAACAAAATAGTTGAGAAGTCATTTTTTTTTTTTTTGTGATTTTAAGTCAGTTCGAATTTCATTAGATTTATATACAGCGTATTTGCGATTATTCGATTCTGTCTCATTGGCTGCATTACGACCCATAGATCCATTATGTGGAGCATTTAAACATGTGACAACTAAACAGGTTTTTTTTTTTTTTATAGAAAAGCAAATTTTGAACTGAAATATTATTCTATTTTCTCTGTATATATTTATAGGTGCTCAAACAAGATACAATTGGTATATCGTTAATTAATGTGAATATATTCCTACGTTGTCTGATACAACATGCAAACGAAGATGCAATATTACAACGATGGAAAGAGAGTTCAACAGTTGACACTTTAGAACAAAATGAAAGTTTTAGTGCGTAAGTAAAAACCATTCTCAACTAATTTTGAAACAATTCTATCTGTTTTTTTTCACATTGTAGACTTCTTCTTCGTATTCTATACGATATAACGGTTTATTTATTAAAATTAGCTCGTCAATCTCGTTATGTACTCGATTATACGCTCTGTGCGTTAACATCAGATTATCTCTATTTAATTCTGAATATATTAGAAAATGGTATGTGTATTTTTCTCCAACGTCATATTATAATGTCATTTATATTTTTATTGTTCTATTTTAGCAAGACAGTTTCGATCGATAACAAGTGGTTTACACTATTTATTAATTCAAGATGATAATGAAATTCAGCGTTTAGATAATTTTTCTTATTTAACTGTTTTGAGTGAACATTTTAAACAATTATCTTTCTACTATGCTCCATTTCTTATTCAATGGACACAAATAATGAATCTACTTGATTATACAAATGAAACATGGTGGAAACAAATATTTAATATTGGTGGTAGTGATTCTTATACATGTCAAATAGTTAATTATGGTCAATTAATTATTTATTGTGATTTAATTTGTCGTCATGAATTGTATGTTGAACATTTAACATCAATTTTAACAAATCGTTCATATTTAATTATGTTATTTGAACATGTTGGAAATAGTAATGAAAAATATATACAAGATTTAATTAGTTTAATACATCGTAATTCAGCAGCAAGTAATTTATATATTGAAGCTATATTTGCTAATTGGAATTATATAATGGGAAAATATTCCACACAAAATGGAAGTTCAGGATTATTTGCATTAAAAATATTACGTACATTAGAAGCAATTCATTTAGATCAAAGTGGTATATTATTATTATTATTAATTGAAAATTTTTTACAATTACCCTATATGACGATAATACGTTTAGCAGAAACAATAATATGTCGACGAATTGAAATGATGTTAACAATTGATGTTAATAATTTAGAAAAACAATTAATGCCAAAAAATCTACCAATTATATTAAAATTATTATCGATGAAAGAAAAGAATAAAAGAAATGAAAGATTAACGGCACTTGTACAACGAATGGCAAAACAAATCAATTATAACGATATAAATTTGGAAATACAGCTAGAGACAATTCATCATTCAAATACAATAAATGATGATAGTCTGTTAAATATGTTACGACATATGAAATGTCCAAATGATATAACGGCAAAAATGTATGCAACTGTATTAGCATCGATCACTTATAAAAATCTATTACCATACATGATGTCATTGGTAAGCAGTCGTGTTTTGCTAACTTATGCTACAAAAAACAAACAACAATAAAAACTTTTTCGTTAATTTAACTCTTTTTTTTTTTCTTCTTCTGTTTAGGATTTTATTTGGGCATCAATGCCGTACTGTTTAAAATTAGGATTTGAATCATCGATAGTAGTGAATAACACTAATCCACCATCACCTGATTCAACAACAACTCAAACATCTACACAAACACCTACATTTAATTTATCATCATTATGGCGTTGTTCAATAAATGCTATGGTTAAAAAAATAAATGATGTTTGTTTTTCATTACCCGCTCAACGTTTAATATGTTGTGATTGTAGTGAAACAACGCAAGATTCCTTATATATGAAAAGTTTATCATCTCTATCTGAAGAAAATGTTCATATAAAAACTGTTTTATTACCATTATGTGAATCACTTATTGTTTATTTTGAATATATAAATGAATATAGTATACTACATCAATTATCATCAACAGATGGACGTGATATTCTACGATTTATTATATTTGTCTCTGAAACAATATACATTAATCTATTAGATAATAAACTCTATATGGATGTAATTGAAATATTTTTTCAATGTTTAGTTGTAACATTAACCAATTCATCATCGATTATTTATACATTGTTAAGTGCTACAGATCAAATTGTATCTTGTTGTACACTACTTAAATCTATACTTAGCATATTTCAATATTTAAAACGACATATGCGTCTAGCTATCATCGTTAAATCATCATCAAATCAAATACACTCCTATTCACCAGAATTAATTGAACATGATCAACGTCCACATACACAATTATTATTACAAGCTTTTCATGATATTGATCAATTATATGATTTATATCAACAATTATGTTTACCATCAGTTTCTCCCTCATGTTTAATACCAAAATTTATTCAAAAATATATTAAATTAATTTGCATTATTCTCTTTCGTATACCTACATTCAATTCATTTTTTCGTATACCCACTGCTTATTGGCAACATTTAAATACATTAGAAAATAGAAATGAACGTTTAAGATTTTTAAATGATTTTTGTTTAACAAGTTTTCCTATTCAATTACTTCAACATTCAGATATAATGACAGATTATGTTGAACGATTAAATTTAATTGGTTGGATAAATCGAACACAATTTCAAGAAGCATGGGTGACATTTTTAACAGCTGTTAATCAAACAAATAATTCGAATCAACAATTATCATCTGATCAATTGACAAATGGTGATGAACAAAATGGATTTAATAAAGAAGAAAAATTAGAACAAAATGCTACACATTGGTAAGTTTTTATATTATTGAATGTTTCTTAATTTTATTTCTGTTTAGTATTTGGGTACGTGGTGTAACAACATTTTTATTGAATGCAATAAGAAAAAATAGTAGTGGAAATCCTTCTGAACAACATTTTGAACATCATTCTCGAAATAAATCAATACCATTTTTGTCAACAACAAATGGTCAATTCTATTTACAGAGTCGTATAATACTGAATCGTTGTGCAGTCAATGATATCAAATATAATAATGAATATTCATCGTCTAAAACTATGGAGAAATGGTTATCATCTAGTTCTTTATTTATAAATACGGAACGCATTGGATCACATGATCATCTATCCTACGAACAATTTTCATTAGACTCAATAACTAAACTACTCGTTTCATCAACTATACCGTCTGTAAGTTGAAAGTTTATATGAAAAATATGCTTAAAATTTCTGTATCTCTCTCTCTCTCTCTCTCTCTCTCTCTCTCTATTAAGACGTCGTCCGAGAGTATCGATCAATTATTTTCTCGTAATGGTTTAGATCTAAATTCAGCTCTACAAATACTCTTAGAACTTTACATTCGTTGGATGAAACCCGATAATTTATCATTGTTATCATCGGATACGTGTTTACAATTACGTTTTGAAATAATACGTTCAATTGTTCTCCTATCCGATTTATTTACTAGTATACAACAAGTATCAAAATTATTTGATTTATGTGATGAATTAATTAAATCAAATATTTGGCTTGATGAAGATGAATTAGTCATGATGTATGTTTGTTATGGTTTCTGTAAATCAGGTGCATTACTCGGGCAAACATTGAAAGATACTAATGAACTTTATATACGTTTAATTGAAAGATGTTTTAAATTATCTTACACAAAATCGATTGCTTATGCATCCACTATTATTTTGTTACAAACACATGAAGATGATTTATACAAACATTTATTACCTTTACTAACGACAGAATTAACCAATGATGTTACAAATAATTTAGAAACAAATATTGATATAAGAATAAGTGGACAATGTTTAGCAATTGTCTTTTATCTTATTGAAAACTTCTACAATGGTATGCATAAAAGATTGTATTTTTTATTTTAATTAGATTATTGAAAATTCTCTTGAGTAAACTAATATGATTATTTTACATAAATATCATCTTTTTTTATAGATCACGGTTTAGGTTTAAATCTGCTTGGCACAGTTCTTCAACAACATTACGAAAATATAATGCGTGAAGGTGATGATTCTCTATTATTAAATATAATATCGGTTGGTATTGAACGTCTTCTATTACTTAATATTATTCCGAAAAAAGATTTATGGCGTTTATTTAAACAATATTTAAAAGCTGTTCGTAATGTCAGTATCGAAATAGAAATACCACAATTAATTTTATTATTAGCATGTATTTATATAACATTGACATCAACAACAGAAAGTGATATGATGTTATTAAATAGTAGTATGGCAATTGAACAATCATTGTCTATTTCATCATCTCTATTATCTGTTTCGAATGATGATCAAGAAATGCAGGATACATCATCAAACGATATTGTTATTGAATTAGTGGGTGATATATATGAACGAATAAAATATACATTTCCACACGAGGCATGTAGACTATTAAGTGCTTTACCCAGTCTTCTATGTCATATATCGTTATCAGATAAGTTAATGAACAAAATAATAGCAGAATATGCATCACCGCAACAAATTTATCCACAAATATTAGCATATATTATATTTATCGTATTTCGATCATTAATTAATGCAAATTATTTATCAAAAGTAAATGAATGGACATTATTATCAATATCAAGTGTTTCACAACGACGACCGATACGTCTTGCATTATGGGGTTTAACATGTTTGATGTTAAGTGCTAGTCAAGAAAAAATAGCCAATAGTCTGTATCCTTTTTCTTCTCATCACATTATCTTAGTGTCTTACCATGCGGTCTAAAAAATTAACTATGTCACAGCTGTGAATCTTATAGATGTACTCAAATTTTATTCGTTTTGTCTTTAATAATCCAATCAGATTCCCTCTAGCCGTTGGACGATATGGACGATCTGAAGATATTGATAATCAATTATTTCTTATTGCTGGTAGAGAATATTATATGCAAGTAAGCGAAGTGTTTTCTGAGATGGTATCCTCTCTCTCCCTCTCTCTCTCTCCCTCTCTGTATTTGATCACTCTTATTTAGCTAACGAATAATGAACAACGAAAACAATTTGAACAGTCATTGTATGTTGAAATTACGACGGAAACCCATTCACTGTATACAGATTTATTTAATCAACTGAAATCAATAGATTTTACTCTGCATCAGAAAACTTAACTACCGTTTAAATGATGATTTGTTTTTTTTTCTTTATCCAAAGATGTTTTTCTTTCCTAGAATATTTACAAATAACCTAAAATCAATTTTATATAAACAATCTTTAACTTGATTCTTATTCAAATTTTTAAAACAAATATGAAGTAAACAGTGATTTATTTTTTATTATCTTTTCGTCCTCAAAAAATGTGTCTTCTCTTTCTTTTATGTGCTACAAATTGTATCTATCTATTTTGTTTTCTTAGTTTTTGTATTTAAACAGATTCTCTAGCTTTATTTTCGTTTTTTTACTACATGTGTTGTTGTTAACAGGTTTCAAAAAAACTTAAAAAATAAATTACATTCCAGTTGAGTACATTAATAAAACTCCGTATAATTATAAACCGTATACTCTTAGTTCCTGTTTGTTCAACAAATGGTTATTGTGAAAGATTTTTGCTTTTTAAACTTGCGGTATTACTTAGTAGTAATAGACGTCGTCCATAATCTCTAATATTGATTCACATCACTCACGATTGATCACACATGTTGATATCGAAAAAGTGTCTATTCACTTAACGCCAGATGAAACGAAAAGTATGAATCACTGTTCTAACTCTAACATGACATGTGAATATGATGAGAAAATTCTTTTCTGATTTTAGAAAAGTCAGAGTTTACTTGAACTCAGATTTAAGTGTCCTATATAAAGTTTAAATTTATTGTCCAAGAGTCAGAGCTGCAGTCGGTACCTATATGAATTATAACGCCGTTCGATATATCGGCACCCAGGTCAAGGAATCTTGCTGTAAGCTCTTATAAGATTCTTGTACGATTCCGTCTGGTTTCGTAAGATTCGTATAAGAATTTATAAGATTCTGTAAGAAACATAGAAACTGATTCTTGATGTAAGATCTTATAGTAAGATTTCGTAAGATTCTCGTATGATTTTTGTAAGATTTTATAAGATGAATCCGTTTCTATGATTTTCCGTAAGATTTTACAAGATCGTATAAGATCTTGATCTGATTTTTTAACCTGAGCATTAGTATGAAGTATAATCAGTCGGTGGATATTGCTGGTATTTTGCGGTATGATACAATTTTCGAAAAACATGGTGTGAATTCATTTCATCTGTGACATATCTCTTCCACTAAATTTCATTTCAATTACTTAAAATTTGTCGGCTTAAATAAACTTCTTAATTTAAAAAATAGAATTGGATTACTGTTTTCGTGCTGATAGCATAAGTAATTGATCAAAAGAAGAGTAATCAGTTTTTTTCGCTGAATATCAACGGACTTCATCACATGTATGAAACATGATCATAACTTTATTTTAAAAAAAATGGACACTAATAAGTTGTTCTCTACCGATATTCAAACAAAACTAAATCCTCAAGGGTTTGTACTTCTAAAACATGAAAATATATGGCCAAACTAAGAAAAAGTATTTGTATTTATGTAAAACACGATCTAGACAAGCCGGTACCAACCGGTAAACTGGCCATCAGTATACTGGCCGGCCAGGTACCGATATCGCATTTTTGATACCGGTTACATCTCTGCCAAGAGTAGAACGATAATCTCTCTATTATTTCATTACATGGCACTGGAAAAGAGAAAAAAACCAGAAGAAAAATAAAATGATAAAGTTTTAACAGATTAAAGCATAGCAACAAGAAGGAGATTAAGAGAATTTTCTATGGCGACTGTGTGAGTGAAGTATAAAGAAATTTTATGTAAGGGAAGTAAGATCATTTATGCCGGAAAGCAGTTAGCTTTCTAATCAAATCAACGATAAGTAATTCTTTTACTTTTTCAAATTCAACAGCTAAGCGCCTAAAACCAAAGAGTAGAAAGTCAAGAGAAAGAATAATTTGTGTACCCAATATGGAATTAATATTGCTCATCAGTTTTAGAATTTTCATGTATCATCAATCCACAGCGCTGAACTGGAATTTGTTGAGCAGCTCTACTTCTACTTCTTTTTGAATGAGCATGTGATTTAGCATGAGTTGAAATGAGAGACTGAAGTGAAGGAGATGTTTTGCGAAGCTTAATTTTATAAACTAACAAAGTCGCTGAATAAAGAGGCTTTCTTCTATCAGAATTCAACCTAGTTTTGCTAATATTTTTGTAGTTGAAGGCAGTCTCATTCCACCAGTAATTGCCAAGACTGAATTATACTGGAGACTAGATATACGTCTCAAATTGGTTTGTGTAGTACCAAAATAGATGACACTGATATAATTAATTATGAAGAAAACAAAGGCATTGTAGACTAAGCATAAGGCTTCTCGAGATATCACATAACTCATCAATTTCATAGTGCCCGTAATTTTGAACACTTAACAAATATGTAAATTATGTGGCAAGTCCAATCTAACTTTAGAGTTAGTACTAGTCCCACATGAGTTACTTTGTCAAGATAGACTAGAGAACCGTCTAAGACTAAAGCGGGTGGAAGACTTCTCTTATAATGACTAAAACATGACATTTGACTTGGAAACATTATATTCAAAAACCAGTTTCTCGACCATTTAAATATAGCCTCAAGATCAGTGTTCATTTGAGCAAGTGCTTGCTTCATATCAGAAGCTACACCATACAACGAAACGTCATCAGCAGACAACTTACATGAACACTGCAGAGCTTGAGGCAGACCGTCAATAAATAATAAAAATAAAAGCGGTTCTAATACCGAACTTTGCGACATCCCGCATCCTATACTAGCCTCCTGAGAAGAAAAACCGTCAGTCAGTGTAAGAATTTTTCTACCACTAAGATAGCTCTGAACCATTCTTTTAGTTTAGCAGGTTAAACCGTTACTATTCAACTATAACAACAGATCCTCATGCGAGACGCGATCAAAACTCTTTTGAAAATCAACAGGCAGAACTGGATTCCTCTACCTGAAAGCCGAGACGATATTATGAACTATACCAATAATCTGAGTTTTTGTTGAATGTTTAGGCAAAAAAATCTGACTGATTTATATTTATAAGTTGATAAGTGACTAGAAACTGAAAAATACGATTAAAAATAAATCACTCAAAAATTTCAGCAAAAGCAGAAAGTAGTGATTGGTCTGTAATTTGTTGGCAGATGAATATTATCTGATTCGTACAAAGGAAGAGTATAGTCTAGTAGGGATTTTCGGTTCTCTTGAAGAACCGAAACTGTGGTTCTCTTATTTCCGATTCTTCATCAGGAACCGGAACCGCGCTACCAGTTCTCACAATAGAACCGGAACCACGGTTCCATAGATCGTCCTTTTTTTCGGAACCGAGAATTTTTGTCTTGTCTTTCTTTTAACAAAAGATATATTTGCCGGTCACCCTCTAAAAGAATCCTTTCGTTTACTATAAAATGAATTCTATTTGGTTGAACTGTTACTGTCCGAAAAATTCTTTTCCGATTCGTTTCGGTTCTAAGTCGAGAACCGCACATCGCTATAGTCTAGTTCCCATGCATCTATAAATTATTGCTCATATTAAAAGCAGAATTATTACTTAGAATTAGATCACGACAAGATTTAGATTTTATTCGTGTAGGTTGTGTAAGACCTTCACTGAGAGAGAATCATAAAGAGCATCCACTTCAATAGTTGACGGCTTAGTGGGACACCATTTAGTCGAGTGAACGTTAAAGTCACCAATAAGTAAGATAGAATCATATCGACGACATGTATTAGAACGAATTTTGTGAAAGAACATTGACTTTTACATGATCCACCCAGTCTGGACGATAACATATCACTAATAAACAGGTTTTACACTTATACAGTTTTAAGTCTACAAATAGCGTTTCAAAGACTTGATCTTCATAAGAAATGAGTTAGTTTACTTGTGCATCATCTCGAACAAAAGGAATTCCACCACCTCTTTTGCCTACACGTTCACACCTAAATACGGGTTGATAGCCTGAAACTAAAAATTTTGAGTTGTCTATGTTTTGACTAAGCCAGGTTTCTGTTACAGCAACAATAAGAGATCTGTCTAAGTGTAAAATGTTTAGGAGTAAATCTAATTTTTGAAGAGCTATTTGAATCGTGATCAATTTCATCTACGATACAGTATCGTACAATAATGATGTTCCTCTATCAATTATCTGTAGTCAATTACTTTAACAGAAATTATTTTTTAATAGTATAACCTAGGACGTAGTTACAAAGTCTTGAATGATGATTGATGATGTCTGTATGTCTAAGTATACTTTTTAATTTTTTTAGCCATTCAGATTGTTTAATGGCTGGTCCATCCTCTTCTTTATTTTTTATAAGATCGAAATAATGAGATTTTTTTTTATACTTTTCTATCAAAGTTTGCCTGCGTCTTAAGAAATTTATTTTCTAATAGCAAGAAATTTTAACCGATGTTTATGTTTTTTATAAAATACCTCATACAGATATCAAATGATCAAATCGATCAATATATTTTGTCAAACATGCATCTTCATAAACATCTACTGCCTGTCGGATAGATCTGAAATTCTTTTATTAAAAATGTAGATATGTATCAGCTGTATATTATGCGAATAAAAAGTAAGACGCCACTCAAAATTGGATTTTAATCCATTGTTGTAATGATGATTGAATATCATTGATTTTATTGTTTATATTCATGCAACTCTTTCTCTCTTGTTATTCGCTTTCTTTCGATTTTCTCACGTTGATTTTTTCGTCATATATAAAGAGTGTGTGTGTGTGTGTGTGTGTGTATCTATATATATGTGCATCGTCTCGAATTTATTCACTACACTTAACTCTAATAGAACAATTGCCTTCATTTGTCCATTTGTTTTTCTTTCATAAAACCGCAATAAGTATGACCTTCTTAATAAATATATCTAATTCTTGTCCTCAATATCAATAAAATTGCTGTTTTCTTTTCTTTTTTTTCGTTTTCTCTTTCTCTCTTCTTTATAACCTAAAATATATTTTAAACTTTAATTTTGAATTCATCGATTAGATTATGGGTTGATCATTTCCGTCTCCATTGTATTTTTGTGTACAAGCTAAATTGTCGCTGGTATGTGTATATAACAAAATAATATTTATAATTAACTAAAAGTTAAAATAGTTATTTATATTTATTTATTATATTTATTTATTTACTTATTTATTTAAAATATATAATCAAAATATAAATAAAAAGAACGAACGCAACCGAGAAGAAGAAGCATATACATGTATTCTGTTACCGGAAAACTGAATGTTGAATATGTCCTAATATTATGTTTATTCGTCGAATATTTATAAGTAAGTAAACATTTTTAGTCTGGTGATTAGAACAATCTAATGGAAATACTAGATATTCTAAATATTTTATAATAGATGAAACATAAAAATATATAGTTATTTGAAAAGAGACGAGAATTAAAATAAATCGGTTGAATGCTGCTGTTCTATTCTCTCTGATGACTGTTACGTCATTCTGTGTCTTATACTAGCAAGAAAATTCTAATTAAAAGAATTTACATTTTTACAGCTTCAAGACGAATGTTTTCTGTAAGACTAACTATATCTGTTTGTTAACTAACTGAAAATGCCGTATTTTACAAAAATACAAAATAGATAGAATCATTTGAATAATACAAGAATTGTTTTTAGTTTTTGTATTTTTCCGAGAGAGTCCATCTGAGTTTTTTAAAATGTTGTATAACCGTTTTAAAAATATGCTCAAATATTCGTCAGTGTAGTCTCGTTTATTCAGTTTTGTTCACATTTTCGAATTGAATAGATAAACACTTTAGCATCGCCAACTGATTTATTAAAAAATAGTAAAAAAGAACTTTCGAAGAAGAAAAACAGTAAATCGATCCTTTTTTAAATCGTAAGCAATGGGTTGACGCTATACCAGTTCTTCTACTGGGTGTAACAGAAGAAACTATACTCTTTGCTCGAGTTCCTTAAAGTCGAACATTCAGAAAGAAACAACGATTAGACAAATTGCATAATGTGAAAATTTGACTCTTTTTGTTTTCTGTGTATCGGTGATGGCAGGTTCTTGAACTTTGTTGTATGAAAAAGACCGAAGATTATTACGGAATATTCGATGGATACTTATATGCGACATGTTCGATTCTTTTTCTAATTTTTGTTGTTGACACACCCCTTTTATTGTCCAATTGTTGTTTCTTTATGAATGTTCACTTTTGTTCGAATAGGAGGTTTCGACAAACAGATATCACCAGTATCAGACTGTTTCAATACTGATTGTCTTCTATTGAACGCGAATAGCATTATGGCTGACGTAGTAGGCGAGAGTAAAATTTCATCAGAACAAAATATAACTAAATTTGACCTTCCTTGTCTTTTAGTAGTCTCGATCATTTTAATCCACACATTAACCGTTCGAAGTGAAACAGCACCATTCAATTCACGAAATATTTTTGTCGGTTCACGATCTTTTTCATATCTTATTTTTACCAGTTTGTGGAGGCCCTTGCCTTTCATTTTAAACAAATATATCTAAAAATAGTTTTACAACATTTCATATACCACTTTGTAGCCAATTAATCGGGCTATCTTTTGCAAAAAGAAGCCAGCCACAGGGAGTTTAAGAAATTTGAGAAAAATCGAAAACACAGAGTGCAATTTCTTCGGTTACACTCGGTACTTAAGTCTATCAATCTCAAAAACTTTTAATAAGAATTAAAGTTAAGCAAATAGCAGGATAAACTATACTTCGACATTTAACTACGCATTTTGTAGGTTTTGACCTCATTAAGTTAACTAAGTGAAGTGATAGGTGACGTACTCTTCTTTCAGAAAAACTTCTGCTTGATTTCTTTCTTTGTCTCTTTTGACTCAGTTATTTGTTCTCAGGTAAATTTCAATGAGCAAGGAAGGGAAATTTTTGGAGTTAGTCAGATAAAACCTTCGTCTGACGAAGACGTCTTTGACGCTGAAATCTAACAATAAAAATAAAAATAAGAAAGAGTATTGAAAAATAATTCAAATCTACGATGATCTTTCTTTTTCGACGTCAATAAGTATAAAAATTTCGCACTTTTACGTAGTTACAATAGTGTAACTCTTGAGTTTCTACGCTTTTTAATCAAGATTCTTGAATGGAGATCGTACTGAATAAACTCGAGACGGGTCTAACTCTACGTTTATGTATCTCACTTCTCAGACCATAAAACTTTACAGATTTTGTGTATTTTTCAGAGTGGATCTTAGAGAATTCATTAAGCATGGCTGAAAGTAACAGTATGTTAACTGATTGACGTTTCCAAACATCAGTTTTGAGTAAGGACTAGTCTTTGATAGCTCGATCAACTGGTTTTCATAAAATGCCTTTTCATATTCAGAAAACAAGTATGTTGACTTGGTAAAGCAATAAAATACCTTTTCACCATTTTAAAATAGCGACTAACTGAAACTGAGGTACCCAAAGACAAATAACCCACCTCAAATCATAAAAGTAAGAGAAACATATCACTGTTTATAACACAAACAAAAAGCTTTCCTTTTCGACTAAGAATTTTACACTGGATTCCTCTCACTGCTGATATGAGAAGAAAAAATTAAAATGGTGTTTTATAAACTCATTTAGTTTTTAAGCATTGAGTAAGAAGTCTGATGTATCAGTCTACAAATTTCAATTTTAGAAATGCAAAATGAAATATTTCTTTAGAAAAGTATTTGATTTTTGATCTAAAAAAAATAAGAGACGGACAAACGTTTTTTACATAAAGTTTTTTGTTTTTTGACGTCAATCAGAAACGGTTACTTTAAACGGTAGCTTCAAAAATCATAGGGTTCCATCAATAGTAAATTGTTGTCTTCTAGACTTTGTTTTTCAAGAAAAATAAAATGTCTAAGAAATTTGAAATGATTTCATATTTCTTAAGTTTTTTGTTTTCTTTGAAAATGAATATTCTTTTTCTAGATAAAGCTGCGTCTAGTCTTAGTCCGTTAACTTAGAATATGGTGTTCGCTCTAGATAATGTTTGCTATTAATTTCCAAATATTTTCTAATGAAAGTATCGTTGAACAATCAAAACTTCTATTGCTTCTTAAATCCTAGTAAAATATGCGTCCTTTGTAGAATAAGATTTTTTGTGGATAATAACAAGTTCTCTCTACTTGTCACTCTATATTTGAGTTGCATTAAATATAGATATTATCAAAATACTTTTCATGAAATAATTTGATGCAGTTAACTAGCAATTTGTTAGTCATTTCAAATTATTACACGGGAATTGTCTGGTTCAAAATATTTTGCTATTTATTGACCTTGTTATGCAGGTAAATTCTGATTATATTTTAACTACGTTAAACGAATAGGTCAGATTCACTATCTCAATCTGTGAACATCATGTATATTTGATTTATATGTTCATATATGTGTATGTATAGGTATATATATATGTTTTAAGAAGAATGAACGGAAAAGAAGGATGAAATTGTATGATAACGTCCAATAATATACTATGCTTGTCAGTCAGTAGAAAACAATATATTCATTCTTTAGAACATATTGTAATTATATTCGATTAAAATAGTTAGAAGAGAAAATCAGATTAATGATACCTTTTGTGTGTATTTTAAACAATCACGATTATTAGTTTTAGTCTATTTTTAAGAACTTAGCACACTATTCTCGACCAATAATGATTATTGGGTATACAGTAATGAAACGTATGTATTATATTTCTTTATGATTTTAGCTTGGCGGTATACCTCCTTAAAATAACGACTGTAATTATATGATTTTTATTAGATATATCATTGAATTGATCGGGTTGAGAGTATAAATTATAGCAAAAAAAAAAAATATATATATATATATTTTTTTTCTTATTAATTTAGAAATTATTTAAAATTAAATAAATTTAAAAAATGATGTTATTTTACTGCTTCTATTAACAAAAAAAGCTATACAATAGATAGTAAAATACTTCTAATGAACGATATGAGTATTTTGTCTCGTCAAGTAAACGAGTAACCTTGCCAATTTGCTCTTCAAATGTCAGTATTTAAACTTCACCACACTAACACTTATACTTTATCCAAAAAATTAACGCATTTCTCGAATATTGCAAGAGAAGAAGAAAAGAAGCACATACACAAAAAAATTTTCATCAGTTGTATATATCATCGTTAAAATGTCATAAACACAGTTTATTATCCTGTGCAGGTTGATGAATAAAAAAAACAAACTTAAATTACAGTTCATGGTTCTTCTGAGTCTTATAAATAACGTAGATAAAGATTAAGTAAATGAAAAACGAACGAAGAGACAACGAGAGAGAGAGAAAACGAAAGAATTACACACCTGAATTGATATTGTCATTTATTGTGTGCTGTTTGAATTCAACAATTTGTATCTTACAACAAAGATTTTAAAGATGTTCTAATAGATTTCAACACTTTTCAAAAAGAGACTTTGAGATACAACATTTAAAAAACATTTGTCAACTATATTTGAAAATGAGAAATGGAAATTTAATTCTCTATAATAACGTACGACGTTTGTTCAATTTAGTTATCTTTTGTGTAATACACATTAATTTTAATTGAAAAATTTCTAGTATGAAGTACTTGTTTTTAACGCCTTCATACAAATATATTGTGCAAATGACGGTTATTCAGTTCTATATTTACAAAAAAAAATAGATGCTGTAGGACGTTAATCTTCTCACAAATAACAAAATTAAATTTAAAAGATGAATTGAATAATAAAAACGCTCATTTCATTACATGAGATTTTAGCTCATCTTATGTCTGATATGTCATCCTCGATTGAACAGACAATTTTAGAAATAATTCTTTACTAAAAAACAACAACAGTTAGTGTGTGTGTGTGTGTGTGTATGTCTAGATATATCGTACCTAGTTAAGTTAATTATCTAACAAAAAGAAAGAAAGAAGTATAAAAAAATAAAATATTGATGTCCTCGATACTGTTGTAGTAATACCGTGCGCGACGTAATTTGTTTATCATAGCCGAAAAAAAAAAGCGACGAAGATGAAAGAATAAAACAAAAAAAAAGAAAAAAGAAAAGATTATCATGCGCTTTCGGTATATAAAAGAGAAAATGACAAATAAAAATTTTTTGTTCAATGTATAACATAAAAAAAAAAATTTCATTGAATATACTAATAATATGAAACACAAACAGGTAGATAATTTGTATGTAATTTTGCATTCGAAATATTAATCTTAGTTAATCAAATTCAATTCGTTCATGTTACATCATGGGATGAGAACATGTTCACTTTTCTATGATGATCTATTTTAAAAAAGAAATTGATCAGTTATATAAAATCAATCGACTATTTGTTCATAAATAATAGCTAATTACTATTAGTCACACCATCTGACAACATTATTCATTCACAAAAGCTTAATATTTTAATAATATATTGTTCATACCTATAATTTAATATTTAAAAAGACATCCCTAGTTAAATTAAATATAAAATTATCACTATAATAATTATTATTATTATTATCTTATACATTTTCTCATTTATTATTCATTCTACTATAATGTATATGTATCGATATGAAAAACGAATTAAATATTATGGACATTTAGAAAATGAAGAACAAAGTGAGTGTAGATAATTCAAAATTAATATAAAATACTTTCAATTTAAGGAAAAATAAATTAATCAGTTTTATACTTGTTATTAATCTTTGAAAGTATAAGATAAGATAAAAAATATTATATGATAGATGAGAAAGAGTGAATATAGATTACCGTTTACTAACAACTTTAGTTCATGTGTTTGAGATTCTATTTTTATAAAATTAACTTTGGGTTTATTTTTCAATAGTTTTAGAATACCATAGGGAATTTATTTCTGGTTATGTTCTGAAAAATAAATTTTAAATCAAATTTACAATAAAACTTAAAAGGTATTTAGAGTGCAGTGCGTAGGTAATGATTGATTATGTAACGGTTAATTGTGTCAGAAGGATCTAAAAAACATGATCTGTTTAAACGTTGCACATTTTCGATCTAAAAACAGATCGTTAGAGTTTTAGAATGTTGTGTCAACAAATCATCACCTTTTTTTTGCTTCATTATCAGTGCTACTAAGTATAATTACTATACCCATTCTCTCTAGAAACTAATAGAATATTTTCTCTTTTTTCGAGTATTCATTTATCGAAGGTTGGCTCGAGATATGTAGTTGAAGGATTGGTCTTATGTTGATTCTAGAGGTGGCACTGAAGATAGTACCATGGCTCCAAAAATACAAAATAGTAGAAAAGCGAAAAGAATATTTATGAATTAATTAATCAAAATGCTCTGTTTGTATCAGAAATTGATGTAATAAAGGAACATTCATGGATTGCTAATCGAGTAGTGACGATTTGTTGAGGATACCGTTTTCATAATTCGCAAAAGCAAAACATCTACTTTCTTGGAGATCGTTTATTCAAAAATATACATCATATTATATGCCTTACACAAAAAAATTAGTTTTAAAATACAAGCTTTTAATATCTGTATTGAAATAACAAAAGTAAAAAATAGTATGTCGTACATTGTGAATGGCTTAGACAGGTAACTTTACTGTCGAAGCGAAATTCTGTAAAGATATTTTTGCATTTTATTTCTCTTATAATTTTTGAGTGGGGAGATGTCCAGGGATATGGAACGTCTCAAATTAAAGAGAAAAGTGTGCTAAAGATTTTGATGGTTTCCCTCAGTCTACATATTCTTTTATTCAGAAACTATCATAAAACTACGAATACCTACTTTCCAAAACCTATCCGAAAAAGTAGGAGTTCGTATTTTTATCATAGTTTCTGAATAAAAGAACATGTAGACTGGGGGAAACTATCAAAATCTTTAGCACACTTTTCTCTTTAATCTGAGACGTTCCCTATTTCTGGGCATCTCGTCATTCGAAAAGTATAAGAGAAACAAAATACAAAACAAATTGTTACAGAATTTCACTCCGCTAGCAGAGTGACCTGGCCAAACCGTGAAGCTTCGTTGTTAATCGAAATCAGTGTCTTTGCAAACGAAAAACAAATAAAAGTGTTTCTAGAATGGTTAACTTTAACACAAAAAAGATGGGATATCCAGAGTTTCACGTAGATACCTTCATATACTAACAGACAAACGAGGCAACATCTTTTCTAGTTGATATTCATAGACTATTTTTTTAATAAAATTGATTACACTAATGATGAGTTTGGCAGGTGATCCTTGATTGTGTATAACTTTCATTTGGTCTCTTATTCTATTGTTAAGTTAAAAACTTTTCGCCAGTATCTGAAGAGATTTTGTGTAGTTTATGCACAAAGACAGGCATAGATCGAGCAGATAAACAAGTGAAGTTTGTCTATGTATACTTAAAAAAAGATGAATTAAAATATGTAATATCTTACCGAATTATTGTGCTTAAAATGAGCCACACAATAGTATTTTAGTGAACAACCGAGAGTGATACACTAAGCCAGTGACGACTTATAGAAAGTTCGATGATAGTGAGATAAGTCTCTTATTCGGATATTGGTATTTGACAGGATGACATATTTTATACTAGTTTATTGTAGGCAAATAAAGCTTTTCTACTGATTTTCTTCCAGAATCAAAGATAGCTTTGATATTTTTAGGAACTCACTTATCTCTTGAAGCAAATTCTGATATCAGTTCCGTAAGAGCTTATGGCGATGGTCTAACTCGTGCACAAGTTGGTAAAAATACATCATTTGTTATTGATGCTAAAGCAATTCCAGATGGTGATGTTAAAGTTGTTGTGACAAGTAAGTGGAAAATTAGATAATTATCAATCGAATCATAATAAAATATTTTCATTTAGCTCCATCTCAACGTAATTGTCCTATGCAAGTGGTTAATAATAATGATGGAAGTTGGAATATTCAATATCTACCATATGAAATTGGTATTTTACTTCGCTTTTTCTTTTTACTCAAATTAATAAAAAAAATCTTATATTTTTGTTAAAGGTGATTATTACATTGATGTCTTCTATCAAAATCAGTTAGTACAGGGTAGTCCATTTAAAGTAAATGTTTTTGATATATCAAAAGTGGTTGTTTCCAATATTCAAGCGGGAACGGTTGGTCAACTTGTCAATTTTGATGGTAGTACAATTTGCATTATCTAATGATAACAAATAGTTAAACAATTATTATTATGTATATTTTAGTGGATGCGTCAGAAGCTGGTGCTGGTCAACTAGAAATATCAATTCAAGATGGAAAAGTTCCATGTGATGCAACGCCACGAGGAAATTTTCGATTTGATGCTTCTTTCTTACCTCGAGAATATGGAAAACATTTGATTGATGTTAGATTTAATTCTATCCCTGTTCCGGGTATCGCATGTTACTGAATAGAAAAAAATATATACTTTTACACTGTTAATTTCTAGGCAGTCCATTCTCTTGTGAAGTTGTCGATTTGGCACGTGTAACAGTATCAGACAGTATTAGAAAAGGTCATGTGGGTAGACCACTATCGTTTGATATTACTACAAATACTATACATCATTTACCATTAGATTTAACAATAACAGGTAAGTAACTATGTTTAGATCGAACAATCATCAATCTTCTCTTAATGAATTCATTTTCAGCTCCATCTGGTCGTACTATTAGCTATAATATTGTCAAAATGAGTGATACTGAACAGCGTGTTGAATTTACCCTGAATGAAATAGGTAAATGGCACTATAATATATCCTCTTCTCTTTTTTTTCCTTTTTTTTTCTATATCTTCTGACATTCTAGACAAGAATGTGTCCGTTTATCATGTATTCATATAGACTCCTCCTCTTTCACACACCTGAACACAAAAAAGTTAAAAAAAAGTAAATTATAAATAATCATTTTCTTTATTCTTATGTTTACAATAAAAAAAGAAGAAAAATCATCTCGCGCACGAGAGATTGATGTAATTAACATTTATAACGAAAAAGAAAACAATAACGGATATAATTAATAAGCTAACGGATTTAAATAGATAATAATAGAATATATTGATGATTAACATTAAGATTAAACAATTTCATTAGTATTGTGTTCAATGTTAACGGTGTTCTCTTTCTCATCGTACAAAACATACGTTATCCGCATAAGTACAACATGATTTATTACTCTATTATCTATACTGTCGATGAATGAATACATTACGTAACAAAAATAAACATGATAATTCAACATATTTTCGTTATAGTTTCACTTCAAAATCTAAGGCACGCTTGGAAAAATTTAGACAGAAACATGGTATGTTCTGTACACAGTTAAAATAGTCATATATTATGAAAAAATTTAACAGTCGATTTGATAGATTTAGGCCGGTGGTATCATTTGTCTACAAACTATTTGAAGAAAAAAAATAAATAAAATAAATCGTTACTCTGTTTGATACATTTGTCTTTATATATTCTTGAAAATATTAATATTATTTTTGTCATGTTGACTCATTAGTAACACTTGATAAACACTAATTTTGCCATAGCAGAACGTTTAATAGGAATTTAATATTTTCATTTTAGTCAGATAAAATCAATTACTAGTATTGAGATACTTCTATGATTAATTTGTTCTATCAAAAATAAAAATCTGACATCGAACATGTGACTACCTGATACATTTTTCATCGTACAGTCTCTTTTGTATGATAACTTCATTTCAGAGAAGGAAATTATATTTTGAAAAAATTTATTAGATAAAGTAATATTATTATTTTGTTTGAATTTCTGAGAAATTTTAGAAAAAGAAGATACATTATAAAGATTAAAAATTAAATATCTATTTTAATCGAAATGAACCTTACCAAATTGTTTCTAACCTTGTTCTTGTTAAATAAAATTCAAAAGCGAATCGTAATTTTTTTATCATTTACTCTGTACAAAATGTTCAATTTTATTAGTAAACTATGTGTATATGTGACTTCCTACCCTCAAACAGAAGACTGAGAAGTTACGAGAATGAGAAAATAAGCACAAAAATGATTTTCTTTTTTGAATTTTAAATTTTACGCTCAATAGTACAACTAATTGAGGAAATGAAAATTATTTTTTTTTTTTAAATACTTTTCGTTTTATCAAATGTATACTTACTTCACAGATAGTTCGATCGAGAGAAAAGGTGCGAGGTGTGCGTGAGTGTCATTTTTTTTTTTTTTTTTTTTTAAACGTGTTTGATAATATAACCAGGGTCATAGCTTTAATCGGGTTTTTTCTTTTTCACTTTCTCTTTCTTACTCTCTTATGCTTTTTCTGTATGTTACTGTACGGTTTCCATTTTTATGCAGGAAGCATGAGTAAGAGAGGTGTATACGAAAAAGATGCGTTTATTATCATTTTTTAACTTGTTGATTTGAAGTCTCATTCTTAAACATAATAATAGTACACATTTTTTCTTTAACGTACATTGTTGATTTTGTTTGTTAACCGTCGCGATACATTAATTTGAACCTTCAATTAATTTATTTGTGTAATAATTAATTTGTTTGTATTATTATGATTATAATTGTATAGAAGGTATGTATAAGTTAAGTAATATTGGAATGAAATAGATTGTCTCAATTTTCATAACTTTTGTCCTTTAAACATGAACATATTTTATAGTATTAGAACTCTATGGAAAAGTATTTAAAAATAATTGATCATGTTGAATATTGACATTTTTTTCTTTTACACTGTTAATATCGTCTAGGAATTACACTTCACAGGTCTATGATTAGAAGAAAAACACATCCCCATTGTCATATTTAGAGTGATATATGAAATGTGTCTGCTTGTTGAATGATCAGGGTTATTTGTTTCGTGTTTCATTTTATAATACTTTCTTCTTTTTCTCTTACCTTGTATTATTATCATCGAGCTATTGTTTTTGTCGTTTGACATTTGTTTGCATCAAAAACAAGAGTTTGTCTATCCTTGTCTTATTTTAGATTTTGCCTACTACTCACCTTTTAACTAATACTTAATTGAAAATTTGATAAGAATTAAATTTTTTTAGAAGAAATAATTGTTGACTATTATAACAGAAGAACGTTCGTCGATCTAATTTATCGTTTAACATTTTGATCAAAATTTATTTATTTTTAATTTTCTAATATTATAGGGATAATTCTTGAACGAAAAACTTTCGGGAAAAATGTGTTTTAATCACTAAACGAATTAATGAGAAGTAAATGAAAAAATCTTCCCATTTTGCAAGTCAATTAATTAAGAGAGAAATATAGATTTTTTTTCTTCTTCTAAGTAATCAACAATAAGAAATATATGCAGTCGTTCTTATTTTCTCGTTCAATGTGTAGTGCAGTTCTTCTGTGGTATATCTTGCTCATAAGAGTATAGGTGAAAGGTGAGAATAGATGGGTACTGAGAGTGAGTAAGACAACAATATTTCACTAATGACAGTTTAGTCACGATGCCGAGCGTATAAGTAAATTTTTGAAGTATTCTGTCAAAGCTTTTCTTGTCTTTTTTTAGACTTCATGAATAAAAACACTTAATTGTACTGCGTTTCGTTACTTAGAAGAAGAAAAAAATCTATATTTCTCTCTTGATTAATTGATTTGAAAAATAGGAAGATTATCAAAAGTGTTATTTTTTGGGTGATCATTTCTCAATGAATAAATTTGGTGATCAAAAAACAAATGCATACCTAAAAAATTCTATAGAATTTAAATGATACAATAGAGAGGATTGACCTAAGTTTTTCACGTTTTTGCTTAGAATTAAACAGGATCAGAAAACACATTCATCGATTACCGTTTGAAATGGATTATCCTTTGAAGATATGGAATAGAACGATTGGACAAAAATTCATTTCATAAGAATTTACAAATTCAGAATATAAACCATTTTTAGTTTGAAAATCACAAATAAAATGTTCGGAGTATATTTACTGAATATTTTAGTAACTCTTCTATCTGTTGTGAATTTGAACTGTTCTATTGAATATATTACCGAAGAAAGTTTGTTTAATTTCTCACTACTACTATAGGTCGAGTACAGACAAACTACAAACTACTGATAATATTTATTGAAAGAACTTTTGACTAATTAAAGCGTAATTAATTTCTATTTGAACTTCTACTTTTTTTTTTTTGTTGATTTTAAAAGAAGAAGAAAAAGTTGTACTATTATCAGAAACATAAATATTTTATTTGTCTATAGTGGTAAACATTGAATCGAGCTCGCCTATAAAACGTAATGTATATATTTTTTATTTGAAAAAGAGGTACATCGAAAGAAGAGGGCAAAAATAAATTTTAAACAGAATATTAGACTCTCTCTCGTCATAGATGAAAAAAACTTTATTTTTGGTTTAAATTAGAGACATTCCTCAAATATCTTTTTTTTTCTTCCCTTTTCTGCTTCTCCTATCTTTTTATACATAGTACTACGATTCTGATTTTTTCAGCAACAACAACAACAATAAAAAAGAAAAGTAGGAAAAGAATTATTTTCATCTGATAAAAAATTAAATGAAACGGTACAGGCACGTGTAAGACCGCAAGCTACACATTGCACTCTTTTTTTAAAACTAATGTTTGTCAGTTTTAATTTTTGCGACAACGAATCAAAAATAAAGAGAACAAAGATAATAAACTGTACATATGATAATAGTACGATGTATTTATCTGATGATGTTCAGTTAGAATGTGGAAATAGAGATCTTTTTATATGAGCAACTCTAAATAAAAGAAATTTTTATCGGCTTTTTATCGGCTATGAATTTTTATATTAAGAGAGAAGTGTTTGAACTTTTTCTTTTTCATTAGAATCATTGAAAACTCCCTTTAACTTTGATGTTTAAAAGATGAATTTCAACAGATACGAAAAAATGACTGATTAGTATGAAAAGTGTTTTTATATTTAGAAAACTTCTCTAGAATTTTGAATGATTGACCTATACGTTTTCTTCTTGTTTTTCGAGGCAATCATCGAATCGATGTTCGTTTGGGAAATATGGCTATTCCTAATTCACCATTTCATCTCAAAGCCTATGATTCATCACGTCTAATTGTTTCCGATATACCTCGAATAGTAACACTTAATCAACCAGTTGAATTTACTGTTGATGCATCCAAAGCTGGTAAGGAACGGTTTCTATTCTACTGTTCAATATCAATACATTTGTTTATATTCAGGTGAAGGACAACTCGAAGTTGCCATTAACGATGGATTAGTACCAAATCAAGTTAAACCACTTGGAAATTCACGATTTTTATTCAATTTTAGTCCAAGAACAAGTGATCCTCATGTGTTATCTGTCAAATTCAATGGGGATTTGCTTCCTGGTAAGTATTCATGAATGTTCGTCTTTAATTCATATCTTCTCCTTCAGTAGACAAAGCTACATTGACTTTGTGCCAGATATTTTCTATTTGTTCTTTTTCTCGAGCAGTTAACGTGTAATAAGATGATTTAAAAGCAAAATGTAGAAGATTGAAACAAGAACACTATAACTTTTGTATGTTTCTAATTAGTTAGAAGAAAAACATGACAGATACGAAAAATAATGCCATGTGTAGTGGTATATTTAGGTTTAAATTGATTTTTAAATTAATCTCTACTTTTTCTTTGACAACAAGATAAATATTAACGATAGATTAATTTCATTTCTTAAATTCACTTAGGTTTAATATGGACAAAAAAGGAACGCACGAAGTTTCTCATATGAAGTGAAAATTAAGTCGCCTTTCTTAGCGCCAGAAAGAATGAGCTCTAACTTTGCAGAAAACTTTGTTTATTCTTCTAGATAATAATAATGTTTGAATAAAGTGTCGAGGTCGTTTTGTTTTCAAAACGTCAGCAGGTAGAAAGCGCCATCTATCTGC